TCTGATATGACCTCCAAATGTGACACAATGCTGCCTTCACTCCATCTCCAGCAGGAACCTCATCCACTCCAGTGTGCCAGAAGTGTCTCTATGGCTGGTCCTCGTCCCTGTTCATACCTCAGGCCATGAAAAGTCAGCTGCCTGGAGAGTGGTCCCTCCTTACACCCCAAATTCCCCACTGGAATAAATTCCCCACAGAATAAATACAGTACTTATGAGCAAAAGGCTAGAGGGAGCAAAATCCATCCCCTGCCCATTGTGCCTGTACCAGGGAAGGGACCTGGGTGCCAGAGCCAAGCTGGGAACACCTAACTCCCAACATCCACTGCCCAGGAGCCAGTGGGAAGTTGGGAAGAAGCTCCAGCAGCTCTTGACAGGCATGTGAGTGTGACCTGGGCTACCCAAAAGCAGCAGCTCCTGCCTGTGGCTAACACAGAGATCAGCACGGCTTGCGGTCCTCAGGGAGCAATGGGGGGGCTCTCAGCATCCCCCCTGCTGACCAGCTGGCTCTCAGAGCAGGAAATCTTTGATGGAAGAAGCGGGAGGTCCCAGAGCTCCCTCTGCACCAGTGCTGCTGCCCCAGAGCCCCCGTGGCGCATGGCCAGTGTCTGACAGGAAGAGTTTCTGCCCAGCACCATGAATGGTGCCCACCCAACTGCTCCCAGGCTCCCACAAAGTGCCAGGAGCAGCTGTGCTACTGGGTGGCTGGAGCAAAACTTGGGATCACAGGACACGTCCTGAACAAGAAGGCTCCTGAGGAAAAGGAGTCTGGGGGCAGCACCCCTACATCACACTCCCCCCCACCCAAGCCCCCACAACCTTCAGCAGGAGTCCTTGGTGCTCCTGGCTCTCCCACCACCCCGACCACCTTCTGCTTGCCTCTGATGGCTGCTATTAAAATTAATTGACAAAATAAACCTAATTTGGACTGTAACTCTTGTTTTCTCAACCTGAAAGGCAGTCCTGTAGTCGATCAGCAGCAAGTCCCTACAGGCTCCTGCTGCTGGGGAAGACAGAGCCGTCACTGCACTAATGAGTGAATTAGCTAATGAAAACAGTATTTAAAATAATCACAATATTTCTTTATTTGCATGTAAAGATGACATAATAAAAGATAATTAGCAGCATGTGAAACAGTTCTACTACTCAATTTTCTCAGTTTAGCTAATTAATTATCTTAGTAAAATGCATCATTATGGCTAATTTTAGAAAATCCAGCAGCTGCAAGGTCAGAGTGGGAACAATTTCAATTTGTAATTGGAAGAAACATTAAAGTGAGTCAGATAATCTTTTATTAGATAATAATAATAATAACAATGAATCACACAGGCATGTATATTAAGTACTTTAAGAGACAGAAAATGCACTGAATCATTTAATAATGTCATCAAACGGGCCTTTGTTAGCAGCTGCTGTGGGAGCACAAGGGAACCAGGTCCTCAGCCCTGCCTGGAGGAGCACACAGCCCAGTGCTGGCTTGGGGATGCCTGTGTTGGGATGGGGCTGGAGTACCATGGAGGGTCTGCCCTGGGCCCCCCGGCTCTCTCTGCCCTCAGGCTGTGCCAGCAGCACCCAGGGTCCCAGCCAGGGGAGTGCCAGCAGACCACCCTCCCTCTGGCCTGGGCAGGGACCCCAGGGCTCACCAGAGTCTGCAGGGTGGTTGGGGAGGCTGTGGGACCCTGCGATGGCAGAAGGGCATGTTCTGGCAGACACCAGCTCCTGGTGGGAATCCCCCAGGGGTGCGGCAGTGGGCACGTGGCAAGGGTGGCCTGCACTGGGGAATTCAAACCCCAGCTGGGGAACAGGGCTGAGACACAATGGAAGGGAGCCCAGGACCACTGTGGCACTGCCCACCAGCCCCACATGCTGGCCCCACACCCCCATCCCTCCTGGGACACCCCTGCTCTGCCTGGGCTCTGCCCTGGTGAGGAGAGTCTTTACCACCCAGAGGCAGCCTGCTCCCCCCGAGGTGGCAAAGGTGGGGATGTCAATGGCCACGGACCAGCTCTGGAGACAGCCAGCAGTGGATGGACTGGCCCATCTCTGCCTTTCCAGTAACACCTTTGTAAGGATCCCTGGTGTGAGCCCAGAGCTGCCGTGTGCCACCCTGTCCTGTCACACTCTGCTGGGGTGCCAGGCCCATCTGGGCCCTGTGTAGGGTGGGTGCTTTTGGTAGAGCAGAAATATAATAAATCTATTGTTTATTAACGTTAATTATAATCTACAAAAATACATATTACAAAGAAGAAAATCTCATGGCTCTTGGAGGAAGGAGAAAACAGGTTTAAACCTCACTGCATGAGGTGAGCCTCCACCCAACTGCCATGGCTGCTGCTGTGCCCTGGGTGCTGCCCACAGCTTCCAGAGAGGGGGATCCCCAAAGCAGCATGAAACGGCTAAAGCCAGGGCTGAGGCCCCTGGGATGCTCCTGGTTGCCACAGCAACATGCTGCCTTCCTCCACGATGCTGTGGTATTGTCATGGAGATGACCTGACCCACACCCCCGATGCCCAGTGGCCCCCAGAGCCCTGGGGCAGCCCAATGTCACCAGGGACATCCCAGCAGCACAGATGTGGGCCAGGGACACTGGGGGCACTGGCATGGTCCAGGGACATCAGTACCTGCGTGGCCTGGCCACACCCTGCACTCATCACTGCAGCAGGCGTGCTGGGGATGCCACAGCCATGGCTCAGCCCAGCTCCACCCTCAGCCACTTACCTGACCTGTCCTCACAGACATTTGTTCACTGCAGGCAGCCAAACTTTTTCTGTTTAAAGTAGTAACTAAATTACATTTCACCCTGGAAAATTATCTGTACTCCAATTTGGCTTCATTTATGGTCAAAACCAGCTGTACTACAGTGAGGTATCTTGGGTGTCAGTGTGCCATGCTTCTGCCTCCTCAGGAAGTTCATAGGAATAGTTGATGAAAATAGAGGGCACTGGGGAGGAGCCATCTCCTCTACACTCCCATGGCAAACCTGCCACCAGCTCCTTTGCTTGACATGGGGTGCTGCCAGCTGATGTGTGCCCCACAGAGCAGCTCCCCTTCATGACAAGATATTAGGAGTTAAATCTCATTTCTGGCTGTGGCAGAAGTCACAACCAGGGCTGCTTCACACTGCAGCCACTCCTGGCTCATCCCAGGATGTAGCATCCCATGAACTCTCCTGCCTTGGTGAATCCCCAGGCTCTCAGCCCTGGAAACATTAACTACTTACCACAGAGTCACCCCTCCCAAAGGGAAAAACAGACTCCCCCATGGATTTGGTGTCCCATCTTCCTCTGGTTTCTCCTTCTCCTTTCACTGGCTTGGCACCTCTGGTGGCCACCCCCTTCTCCTGGTGGCCAGGCCCCTCTGCCCAGCCCTGAGCTCTGCCCCCAACCCCTTCCCCTTTATAAGCTGCCTGCTGCACGTGGTTCATCCCCTTTCCCCGGGTTTGTCCTTCAGTGACTGTGTTAACCTGCTGGAATAAAACCTTGCAAAAGAGCCTTTCTTGCCTCTATGGCTGAGCCAGCTGCCGTGAGTGTTCAGTGGAGGTTTGACGGCGTTGTCTGAACGTTCACTCAGCTTGCCTTTCACAGGAGAGGCTTGCTGGGGACAAGAGACAGGCAGCAGCACCTACTACCTTAACACCTGCAATTTTTTACCAGGATTTATTATTCCTGTTCTTGCAGCAGTCACCTGGTGGTGCCAGGTCACTCCACTCACATGAAACAGAGCACCTGAGGGACACGGGGAACCTTCCACAAAAACCCAGGAGCTGCTTCCACCTGGGCCCCCCTGCCCTGAGAACCTGGAGGCCACAGAGCCACTGGAGTTGCCTTTGAGTTGCTGGGCTCAGAGAGGAAGGCTGTTCCCCACCGTGTACCTACTTGGCTGATGGAGACCCACTTCCAATCCAAAGCCTTAGGTGAGATTTCCAGCTTTCCAAAGCACCTGGGAGTATCAATCCCTCCCCAATAGGAAAGAAGAAAGCATCAGGCTTCAAACCAGCCCCAGAATGCCCTTCCTGCACCTGGCCCTGCAATTTGGGACTGCAGAGGAAGATACTCAACTGTTTATCATGTTTGTGATTCTTCAGAGATCACTGTGGGACCTGCTTTAAGTTTCTGTCCTGGTTTAGGGCAAATTTGGGAGAGAACCTCCAAGGGGTTCTCTCTGAACCCACCACACCTTCCCTGAAATATTGTGGTGAGGAACTTGGGTGGGTGGTAGCAGCTGAAGTTACTGAAGTTGAAGCCAGCAGGAAAACAGATGTTCATATATCCCAGCCTGAGGTTTCTGGACCAGCCACTTCAGTGCTTTTGTTCCAGTCCTCAGGTTGGGCAGCTTGGGCAAAGCACCAGTGCTGCTGCAAAGGTGAAATCCCAGGGACAGCACAGGGCCCCTGCCAGAGAAACAGCCCCTGCACTGCAGCACCAACACTTGTGAGTCCAGCAGCCCTGACCCACGCTGGGAACCCATCCCCTCCTTCAGGAGCTCAGAGATGGTCCATGGGGATCTGGCTGGATGGCACTGGCAAACCCCCTCTCTAACCCACCCAGTTCCCAGGGCTCGCTGGGTGCATCACCCTCGTGGGACACTGCTGCACAGCTCCTCCCCAAATCCAAAGCTGAGGAGTCCAATCCCTTCTCCCCGCTCTGCCCAGACAGCAGAGCCCTCCCCCTGACAGGACTCTGCACCTGAAGCACACATTCTCCCTGTCCTGGGTGGGTGTCCACACCTCAGATGGGAAGCAGCACATGGAGGGACTGGAGAACACTGGCATTGCAAGAGCATCAGGCTCCCTTCAAAAGCCAGTCTTGAATGTTTGCACGCCCCAGACTATTGAGATGCAACATGATTTTCTTACCTATGAGCCTCACTGTTCCCAGAGCTACTGCGGTACAGAGAGTGTGCAATTCTGCTACCTCTGTCTGCTGTTGTCCTAGGAAACATCTTCATTGGAGAATTTCAACCAAGGTTTTGGAATATACGAAAAATTGACGAGTGCAAAGTTACTAGATAAGAATCTTTAAAATTTATTGGACTAATTGTGTTACATTCAATATTTGATGTGTTTCTCCTGGACAAAGAATTGGCATAAATACAAACAAGCCTTTGTGTGCCTTCCCTAAACAAATAAGAGATAAAGTACTAGAGACAACGGAACATAGTTCACATCTTCGTATTTACATTTTACCTTTACTTTACAACTTAGCGCCAGGAATATTTACAGAAAAATACAGTAAGAACAGAACGTTCATGTCTTGGCAACATACAGGAATTCATACAAATTGTCTATGATTGAAGCACATGATATCTGGCATTCTCACTTCTAATTGCTCCTGCTAAATCCATGGGGAAAAGGGCTGTGTTTGCCTTCAAAGGTATCACTCAATTACACAATCAAGAAAATGCATCAAATTTGTCTGTGAGGCTGAAATTTAGTTTTCTCCTCCTCCTGGGCACACAGAACCTTGTGAAAAGAAACACCATGACCTATGGAGAACCCAGCAGGTACAGCCCAGGGCAGCCAGGGCTGCTCCTCCTTCCAGCCTTGCACACGGCTACACACAGATGCACCAATTTCCACAGGCACTGTCCTCCCCCTCTCCTGCTGGCTCTAAGGTTCTAATGCCTTCCTAAAAGTACCTTTAAAAGAATGGCTTTTCTTTAGAAGTCTCTATTCAGGTACTAAAATGTAATTTCAACACCGTGTTTAACAATGTGACAGTGGTCACTCACGCAAACTTCCTGTTTAAACAGAATTATGAACCCAAACTGAAAGGTTGGATGAAAACAGTCCCCAGGTTATTTACTGTGGAACACTTGCAGGGCAGGGGGTGGGGGTGGTGTCAGCCCTCATCCCTTCTGATGGACAGGGATGCTGACCTAAGTCACTCAAGCATCAAGTTAGAAATTTTATGCAGTAGTTTGTGATTAAAAAAAAAAAAAAATCTGGATTCTTGGATAATTCTTGCAAGTCACAATGGAAATAAACGTCATTTGCTCTGACCTCTCAGGGGAAAAGCTCTCAAGACAGTACCCTGGACTAGCTAAAGCCATTGAAGTTTGGTCAGACTTTGAGAGGAGATGGATATAATGCCCCAGACTGTTGGGGTGCATTTTGTTACGAAGCCCGAGACTTCCACATGTCCTGGGGGAAGAGGGACAGTCCCTGCAGGCACCCTGCACTGGCACAGTCTGCCCAGGGTGCCCACTGCTGTGACCAGCACCCAAACCATGAGGGCTGGCAGCACAGTTTTGCATCACAACATTTTTATACTGAACTGTGACTCTCCTGAATGCTCAACTTTCCAGAGAGCCAATCCCACAACATATAGTCATGTCACACCACCTGTAACCTGCTCACCAGCTGGTTCTACAACTCAACTGATACATGATACATCCATCCCCTGGCACTGAAAGTGGCCACAATGTGCCCAAGTTCCCTTCTTTGCAGACTCCTGCCAAGTCATATGGCTCTCACAGCTGCTACTGCTCCCATGGGTGTCTTTAGGTGAACATGGAAATAGACCCAAGACAACCCTTCAGCCAAGCACAGGTCTTTTTAAAGAAAGTAAATCTTCAGGCAGTCTACTTGGCTATCCCTGTCAGAAACCACCCAGGGTTTGCCCCAAGGCCCATCTGCATCCGTGACTACTCCTGACTGCCTGGCAGCAGCACCTGGCAGCTGTGCTGCATCTGCCAGGACTGTGTAACTCAGCCATGGTAGGTGGGGTTGCTTTTACACTATCAGTGTGCAGACACAGGGGTTGCTCAGGGTGTTTATTGATTACACATGCATTGCTCATGCCTTTTAAACCAGTGGGCTCAAGTGTGTTTGGCCATTAATTAGATCCAACAGGTACATACACAATTTAGCATCCGTGCATTAAAGTGCTCCAGGCAAGAGTCTGGCAGAGGAATGAGGCTGTCCAAGTCCCCTGCACAGCTTGGCCAATGCACCCAAACACTGCCCTGGAGCTCCTTCTGCCACGTGCCACTTGAGCAGCACACAGGTATGGTCCAGCCAGCACACATCCTGCTACAGGGGTTTTCTTTGGGTGGTTTCATTTTTTCACTTTTTATTCATCTGGATCAAATTCCAGAGCTCCTAAATTGAGAAGCCAGTGCACTTGTTCCCTGCAACAAGCACACACCACCTTGGCTGACCACCTCAAAGTCCTTTCACATGTATTTTTAGGGGCCTGTGTTTCCACAAACTCTTGTGAGAAAACACACGGAAAGCCAGGAGCAAGGTCTGTCCTTGGCAGGTAAGCTGTAATGAAACAATTAAGACTGCTTGAGGTCAGAACTGTTGCAAAAAGTAGGTCTGAAATATCAAAATTCAATGCCTGACAAGTATTACTGCAATGCATAGCACAGCTTATTAAAACCACTTTGAAAATAACGCGAAGAGCTCCCCAAACTCCTGCTCACTCATCCTCTGCAATTACCTGGTGCTGGAAGCATCAGGATCCTGCTGCTGTCACGCTGCAGCTCCCCAGAGTGTCAGCCACAATTCACTGCAGCCACACCAGCAGGGATGTGCTGGGAGCCAGAGGTGCTCCCAGGGCTGCCCACGCCCACCACACCTCTGAGATCCCAACTGCAGCTGTGAACATCTTTTCCCAGCACGTCCTTTGAGTCCTGAACACACCACAGGCTGAAAATGAAAACTCCTCACCTACGTGGAAGGGAAGCACTGCTGCCGAATGTGAGAACATACAGGAGATCCAAAACAATGTGAATTATAACTCCAAAGGGGCTTTCATGGCATTGGAATTAATGGGGAAAAGAAAAATTTTCTTTTTGAGATGTTTAGTACTAAACCTGTTTAACAGGAGCTTCTGAAAAGTGTAGTAGAAGCTGCAAAAACTGCTCATGCTATAAATAACAAGGAGGAGGCAGTCCCAAAATCTCAGATGTCAATCCAATGGAAGGCAAGTGATGTTTATGCTTTTTATGGAAATGATGAGGAGGTGACACAGACACTTGAAAATAAATTAAGTAGTTGCATTAAAAAAAAGAATTAAATAAAAATCAAGCTACTGAAATTAAATGTGACATTTTGCAACAGACCTGAAAGTCATAACCTCGTTTTTATATAATCAAAAGCTCTATCCAATAATAACTCCTTTTTGGAAAGTCACTTAATTTCAGGTGATGGTGGTTGTCTCGTAGGCAGATGGACTCAGAGCCCTGTTGGGAGTGGCCACATACATCATAGGGGCTTTGGCTTTCAGGGCCTGCTTCTTCCAAGCAACCTTCCTCCTCTGGCTCCTGGTACACAGATGGGTTACACCCAGCCAAGGATCTTCTGTTGAGCACTGAAGGGAGACTCAAAGTGTCTTTGAAGTTCTTACAGGGAAAGTTAATGCTCTGGAACAGATTCCTCCTCCAAGGAAAGATCTTGTTCTCTTGCCCTTGGACCCATGAGTGCAGCAAGGCATCTAACGGCAGGTTTGTTTGTATTCTTATTTCCATCCTCATATGCAGAGATGGCTTTACTTTGATTGTTTTCCCCTCAGAGCAAGACACCTACAGTTCCTAATTAGTCTGGAAAGGATGACTGGGTGAAGAGATTATTTTGCTAGCATCCAGGAAGACTAGAATTCAGTAATCTTCTGAGGGTAGGTGAATCAATTCAATATCCCAACTGCAATGTTTCAGATTCATTTCTCATTCCTCCCACATGGTATCTGCTGACTTGTGCTAGAACATGATTTCCTGAATTCCGGAGGGCTGAGAAAATTTGTTGATGTTATTTAACTGTTTTCATTAGTATAGCCACCAACCTCTGATCTAATTGTCCTGGAAGGATAATGACCTAGGGGTTGCAGTTCTTGAGCCCAACCTCCTGGAAAAGTGAGGTATAAAATTCTGGCTCCAGCTGCCTGTTCCGGTATTTATTGACAATATCTGCTATTTTCTGTTTTCGGCGGACGTGGGGGGGGTTGTATGAGTCACTTTCCAGCCTCTTTCTCCGACAAATATTTATTACTGTCTGTCTCACTAGAAAACCTGAAAAAGAAACAACATTTTAATCAAGTTTAAATTCAGTCCTACACCCCTCTTCTGGCTTCCCAGGCAAAGACAATTTGGGGTTCTGTCGCATCTAAACTCAGGGGAGATGCTCAGCACCACCAAGTCAAGAACTTTTCTCCATGAACAGTTGATAACAGACAGCCATGGTCCCCAGGCTTGTAAAGACCTTCACCGTAAGGAAGGAAGAAAGGGGCTCACTCAGTGGTACCTAAACTGACTGGAGGAGAAGGAGCTTTGCCAGAGCCAAGCAGCTACCTGGAAGAAGCACCCTCGGGACAAGAGGGCAAACCCAGGGCAGCCAATACAAGAGTCACAGTACCACAGCCCCAGCTACACTGCACATCTGGACATTAGGTGGGCCCTGAGATCATACCAGGTAATTGCAGGGGAGCTCTGAGAATGAAAAAAGTACATGTCAGTACTTTTTCCAGTAGGAATTGCAGAGCCGTCCCCTTGGGAAGGAGATGAGGAAAGACCTCATGGGGCTGTGGCTGCAAACAAGTTTCTCTTCCCCTCACTGCCTTGCCACTTTTGTCAACCCTCTGTAACTCACACTGCTGGATGCAGCTGCAGAAGGAGGCAGGGAATCAAAGTAGCAGCACTCAAAAGCCAGCAGCTAACTTGATCTTACTTTATTCTGAAAGGAAATTTCTATACTTCTAAGGAAGCAGGTATCCCTTACCCCCTTTGCTGTTTCACAAGCTCCTTAAAGACAGAAACATGTAGAGGACCTCACTGCACACAAACTACACCTGCTGAACTTAAAGATGAGAAAAATTTCACTATATTAACAGTCCTGATGCAGTAGAAAAACAAGCCCAACTCTAGGAAAACATACCTGACAGTTTTTCAGTAAAAGCCACTGTCATCAGCTGAATTCATAAATTTAATTTAAGGGCCCATGTCTAGCTTCAATTTGCCAATCACTGAATTAAGCATAGAAGCCCCAGAATCTGAAAGTCACCTCCAACAGAAGCTTTATGGATATGTACAGGTATCCTAATGTTCATTACTTCATTTTACTCTGTCCTGTGTACTGCTCTCGCTGGGAGGGACTTCCAGTTACTGAAGCTAAACAGCACCAATACCAGGACAGGTCCATGAATCTATTCAGGAACAAAGGAAAAGGCAGAGGGCACACATGGAACCTGTTAACACATGCCTGCATGGTATTTTTATTGAACCCAAGAAAATCCTCAGTTGCTGTGGTTTTAATCCTTGTCTTGCCTTCTAAACCAGAAAGAACACCCAGCATATCAGCAAAGTAACAAATTCCATAGCACCCTCTGGTGCACCTTGGTTTTCTGTGCTAAACACCAGGTCACATTTTGGATCTCTCCTATTTAAACAGGCCCTGTTCCTAGTTCCAGCACTCTCTTCTGCTATTCTGGCAGCCAAGTGCTGCCCACCTGCTCCCTCTGCTGTTCCTGCTCCCACTGCTGCTGCAAAAAGCATGGCTTTCATTTGTTCAGCAATGCCTAACACATTTTCCAAAGAAAGATTCCAGATCATGTACTGTGCAGATATATTATTAAAAAAACCAAAAACATGAACATTCCTAAAACGCTTTAGCTTACCAAGAGCTCTCCTACTGACTATCATTCCATCCACCAGTGGGATAACCATGTTGAATTTCCCAGTTGCTCCTTGTAGTTTTATCCTGAATAAGCCAGTGTTTAAAGGATGGATGAAGATCACAGGAATTTCCTTCTCAGGAATGGTAGATCTTAAGGGAAAAACACAGCTGTTGAATCAGTTTTAAAGCACTGTTTCAATTAATGACCCCTTTAAGTGTTAAAGGAAAGTTTTAAAATGCCTCATGGCTAAGGCAGCAGGATCCTGGGGCATGTTCTGAACCCTCAGAAGGGCTCTGTCAGTTGTGCCATGCCTATGATCTCTGTCCCCACAGGACTGGAGAGCCCTGCAGGCAGGGTACAGTGTGTATGCAGCATTAACCACCTCACAAGGGAGCCAATCAGGAGGGAGGTTCATCACAGACTCGGATAAAACTGCACATTTTCTGTTCTTTAATTTATGTTTCATCTGCAGTGATATGAAGAGCTCTTTCACTTTTTCAACCAAAAACCAGTCCACTGAGAAACCAATAAAAATAATGAAAATGAGAGTGGCCTTACCTCAGGGAAGTGCTACTATTGGCTGTGGTTTCCACACCAGTGCTAGTCTCAGATACCAGATCAGGGAGGGGGAAGTTTTCTGTAAGAACAGGATGCACCAAATAAAGTTTATCTAATACAGTTTGGGATTTGGTTTTTTATGTACAAGGAAAAATTATTTATCATCAGTCAAAACCACACAGTCATCAAGCATTTATACCACTAGTGTTCTTGCACAGCTAGCATCTTTGTTTGGCTTCCAGTTTCAGCATTCATGGAGGGTACACACACCTCACCATCTGCACTCAACAGATGAGGTGCCAAACCTCAAATTCTCTCAACCCAAAGGTCAAAATCTCTAGAGGAACCATGAAAGCAGAAAGGAGATGAACTACTTCAACCACAAAAAAAACTACCACAACCAAAACAAGATCTTTCAAATTATTGTTCAGTGCATCCTCACCCATCCACAAGTGATCAGCCTTCAGAATACTGTGAGGAGCACTGAACAATGCCAACCACTCACACCTACGTTTCCCTTGAGCCCTGATGCCACAAACATGATATCCTTCCTCAAATCCAGGCTCTGTGGATCTCTACCATAACCTACAACTCTGCTGCCATGCAACTGCTAACAAAGACTGGATAATGAACGTGAATGAGGAAAAAGTAAGAACTTGAGTCCCTTAAGGGGATTTGGCACTTCCCAACACCTTCTTCAGGTGTTAAGAGATGTTGAGAATTATTCACAAAAGTACAGTTCAGGCAGCAGGACAGTGCTTCCAGCAGAAGACTCTAAGGCCCAAACCCAGATGTGGCCATCAAAGCTGGGATGCTGAGGGCACACAACAGCTGAGCAAGCAGAGGGAGATCACAGCAAGCCATGGACACACTCTAAGATGGAGCAAGAGGAAGGGCATGCAGTTGGCACCAGGGTGATAACCTTGACTACAAAGTGACAGCTTTTCAGTGTTCAGACTCAGATGTACCAGAAGCATAAGGCAAAAGCCAAGAACATAAGGAGCATATGGCAGAGCCTCTGGGCTGGGAGTCACTTCCAAGAGCTGCCCTCCCCTCCATGCAACTGTCAGGCTTACTGAGGCTCACAAACTCATTTCTTCAGCTTCAGCCTCAGAACTCTGGGAGATTCCTATGGCTGCTGAAAGAAACAGTCAAGCAGAAGCATGCCTGTTGCCCTGGCAGTGAAAGGGGTCTAGCTGCCACCCAAGAAGGAAGTGGGTCAGGGACACCAGCTTGGAACACGCTCTGAGCCAATGCCTGGACAAGGAAATGATGATGCAGAACTTGCTGTCTGCCTCCTGATCTCAGTAAGGCTCCGAGGGACATACTGTGGACAAGGTGGCCTTCCTGAGAATTTACATCTACACTTAACAGGAAGCTTCCTCTTGATTGCTGCTCCCATTTCCATGGTTCCTTTACTCTGGAAGGAGCTAAGGCCTTAATTAAGGTCCACCCTTACTGCCAGACAGGCAACCAGGATTAGAAACCAAAGACAGAATAAAGCAGCAGTTCTTGGCCAGTGCTGCAGACATTGGTGGGCTAGACCAGTGCACAGAGTCTCTTGCATAGCACTGAGGCCAGGCCATGGCTTGGAACCAGCACACAAGAAACTCCTGGGGACAAAGAACACCTCAATGCTGCTGACCACGGCCATGCCATGGCTGTAACAGGATAAGCAAAGCTGGGTCTCTCCCAGAGCAGAAGCAGAGAGGAAACACCAAACTAAGAACCAAAGTTGCATGAGCAGCCAGAGCTTGCCTGAGCACCACAGCAGAAAGGGAGCATGAAGCAGGCACCCTGAGTGCAGAACAAACGAGCCTCCCCTGACAAGAGAATATGGACTTCCAAAAGTGCCATCACACCAAAGGGGATGATGATCCCTCCAGCACAGAAGCAGGTGTCAGAAGCCATTTTTTTAAAGGAAGAAAACCAGATCCCCTCCTAGGAGACAACAGCTAAGGAGAACTCAAAAGCAGGAGAACCTTGAGTGCTGAGCTTAAGAAGGTTCGTGACAGCATTTCACAAGTATTGCCAGCACTATAGGAAAATTCAGACCTCCATATGCCACCAATTCAGGTACATCTTCATGGATCACAACTCAAATACTGAAGAACTGATTCAGAATCTTAGTGTTGTTATAGACATTAATAAGGACATATTTTGATTATGAGGGTGGTGAGGCCCTGGCATAGGTTGCCTAGAGAAGCTGTGGCTGCCCCATTCCCTGGAAGGGTTCAGGCTGGATGGGGCTTGGAGCAACCTGGTTTAGCATAGTGGAAGGTGTCCCTGCACATGGAAGGGGGTTGGGTCTACATCAGCTTTAAGGTCCCCTCCAATTCAAACCAGCCTGTGGTTCCATGATCTAGTTTGTTTTTTGTTTTGTGTGGGTTTTTTTTTTAAATTAAATAAAGGAACAGGGTTTTTCCTCTGGCTCCTGCCCTCTTGTTAATTTAGTGAACAGTTAGAAGTTGTACATACCTATATCATCATAACGTTCCACCCAGACCACATACACTTTGGTTTCAGGTCCCATTGGTGGAATGGTTCGACCCTGAGGCATCCTCTTGGATCTAGAAGTAGGACTGAGCTGTTTCGAACATGAGGGAAGAGTAGCATTTGCAAACATCATGAATCCAATAATGCAGCCAACAAGTATTTCCCAGCTGCTCCTCAGTCATTCATATCTCAGCCAGGTACAACCTCTGCCAGCTACTGAGCAGGGGCAGCTGTGCTGGAACTACTCACTGCAATCTGGGTCACCAACCTACAAGTATTAAATATAAACTAACATATATGTAATCAACCTTGAATCAGTTACAAGTTTTTCTTAATGCTCTTGAAGACCTTAAATGAGTAACTAAACATGTATTTGGAAGTGAATTCTAAACAAGTAATCAGCAGTAGTAAGTCTTTCGCTTACAGACACAACAGTTCATGGTTTTCTGCTTTGTTAGTGTACAAAAGCAACTTCTGGTACTTCAGACACAACTGACACTGTTTGTAAGTGGGTAGGTAAGAAAAGCATGCATGTCTATCCATCCTCAATTTCCAAGCATGGATTTGAAGCTGCATATACTTTTTCCTGCACACATTTCAAGATTTCAGGATGCACACTATTACCACTTAGCATGTCTAAGTGTTTATACTTAAGTAATGTAATCTTGCTGTCTCCTACTGTAGAGGCAAATTCTAGCAGGACCAAAGCAGATATCAAAGATTAATGACAAGGAACAAGTAGCTCTACATACCCATAAGCCAAATAATAGACTATCTAAAATCCTGAGCATTGCCAGCATGCTTCTTGAAAGGAAAAAAAAGCACCATTTTTCAATGCAAGTTTTGCCTTACCCGCTGGGAGGGATTAAGATTGTCTGTATGATTGGGGAAGAGTTCAAGTGTCAGAGGCTGCTGCTTCAATATTCCTGGCAGCAAATCCATGTTGGAATCACTTTCTTGGTCAGAGACACTGCTTTCCAGTGAATCAGCTGTAAGACAGAAGAAAAAAAGGTGGGTTTTGTCTATTCTTCCACCAAAAAAATTAAGCTGCCATCATAAATAACATTTTGATACTAAAAAATGTAAGGCTTTTGAAACTAGACATGTACAAATGTATGGCCAAGTCAATTTAGTTCTCATAAGCAGGAAGACAAGTTAGGCGATAACTGCCAGTTATTCCAGAAACAGACTGCCAATAAAGCACTCCCTATGGACTTACACACATCCTAGCAATTTCCTATAGAACAGTCTCCTCCTTCCTATGGCTATACCATCTTTTATTCCAGGCAACTTTTAGCATGCCAAAGATGCCATGAAAGCTGTTGCTTTTCTACTTGGTGGTGGTACAAACACTCCTGTGTGTGCTGCAGGAGCACATCACTGACAAGAATGGTAAAAAAACATGGGCATCACCAGTTAATGGTGAACCACATGTCCAACCTAAAGCACCCTGGCAACAACAAAACTGCTGTGCATGCCTGGACGTCTACTGAAGTTCAGAGAAAGGTACAGAACAGATGTCACATCTGGAAGGAATTTAAGAATTACAATGCTGTAATTTAAACGTCCACACCTTTTGAAAAGGATCTTGCTAAACACACTACTTAATTTATTTAGGTTTTGCTTCTGGAAGAGTTCTCAAACAAAAAAACTGTTGGTTTCATTTTTGTATAGAGCATGTACAGACAGATCTTACTCAGGGATTCCACTGGCGATGGGACAACAAAGGCGATTTCTGTCAGGGCATCTGCATAATACAGCACCTTCTTCTGCCCATTGAAGATACTTGCACCAACATCTTCTGAGATAATTAGATCATCTGAAATGGACAGAAAAGGAAAGTTTAGCCAGAAGGAAGCTCTACTTCTTTATACTCTGCATCAGAAATGACCTTCAAATACAAGGTGCAATCAATGAGAAGAAATCATACAAATCTCATTTCAGAATGAAAGGAGTCAAATCTCATGGCTAACAACCTTTCTCAGATAAATATTTTTACTATGTTGAAGGAAAAGGCATTTTGGGTTGAGAGTGGCTTCATTTTGAACACATTTCCAATATACTGGATTCTTTATTTCCTAGTACTCTAGTAAGCACATCTGCCACAAGAATATATCTACTATCTATTTCTGAAGATCACTGAGTCCAGCAACATCATGCATTCAATTTCCAAAGGATTCTAACATTTATCACTTCAGTCTGATACTATTCTAGAATTCCAAGCCAGTTTCTACAGGCTCTCCTCAGTCTTTTCTCTGTCAAGCAGAGTTAGAAAAAGATCTGTCACCAGTCAATGCAAGAAAGGTTCTAATTTTCAGTACCCACTGATTCCCTCACCACAACTGGCCAATACCAGGCCATCAGAGCAGAGAAAGAACTTGTCTCCTCCCTTTTCCTTCCCCATGTCACCTCCAGAATGACTAGCAAGGCTTTAAAAGGAATTGTTTCTCTGATCCAGTTTACAGAAGTGTTCCTGGGATAGCTGTCTCAGCAAAGCCACTGGAGCAGTGAAATTCAGCATACTGACAGAGCAGTGGCCAGAGACATGTTGAAGACTCCAAGCCATTCTTCAGCATCAGGAAAAGATTCCCACATCTCCAGTGCACAGGCTCCCAAGGAGCAGCACCACAACTCAAACCCATTTCTTTAGGAATTTCTTTGATTTTGGGGGTGCTGCAGAGAAACATTCCCATGAAATTATTTTAAAGACAACTCACCAGAAGCTATTTCAGACTCACAGAATCATTGAGGTTGGAGATCATTGAGTCCAATTGTTAGCTCAGCACTGCCAAACTCACCACCAAACTGCTGTGCACCAAACTGCACAGCTTTTAAATCCCTCCGGGGATGGTGACTCCATCCATCCTGACTAGCTCAGAGAAAGCAATGCCTCTGTACTCTAACCTCTCCTGAACACTTCCAGCCTTTTGTGGTTTGTACTTTTATTCCATAACCTAAGGGAGAAGCCTCCAGCTGGCTGCAGATACAGGTGACAGGCACTCCTAAGACACAGTGAATGGACAGCAGAGCAAGTGCTGCTCAAGCACCTGCAGCTGCAATGGTGTCACACCTGATGCCAACATCAGGTCAAGGATGATGAACAAGCTGCACCAGCCTTACCACTGCCTTTGGGTGGCCCAGCAGAGGCTGTGGCTCTGGAGATCACCCAGAACAGCTCTGGGCCTTGGAGCAGTGACACTGAAACCAGCCCAGACACTACCAATTCCCAGAGGATCTGATCAAGTTGTCCGAGGGAGAAGCTAACCCAACCCTCAGTTTCCCATCCTGGGATAGCAGCTCACATTCCTGAGGATCATTTTGGGTGACAGAATGGGGAGAGGGTGGTATATGACAAGCTAAGGGTAAGAGTTGCTCTAGTAGAAGAAAGCAGAGTCAATGAAGCAAAACAGAGAGCCATGTGGAGGTTCTAACACCTCCAGGACCTATAAACAGCAGCTTGAGTCAATATTTCATTTTAATCTGGCTAGAGAACACTAAAAAAAAAAAAAAAAAAAATCACACTGTATTTCAAGCCTGTTTGCCAATACACAGAACAATCTGCAACAGATTGCACCTGAATACTGGTTTGGAATAATATATTAAAGACTTTTAAAATCTTTAAAAATATAGCCCAGAGGTATTTTTTTTTGCTGAGGCTACTTTCTCCCAACAACATACGGACATTAGTTTTGCTCACTCTGACTTGAAGCTTCATTTAATATTTACAGATTTCTTTCTAGCAAACATAATTTGTCAAAAAAACAAACCAAACAAAATCTCCAAAACCAAAAAGCAACAACAAAAAACCCAAACAACAACAAGAAACACACCCCACAAAAAAAAAAAGAAAAAAATACACCAAAACCAACCAACCAACCAAAAGCACAGTGTTCAGAAACGTTCACAGGAGCAAAAAGGAGTCTTCTAAAGGAGCCTAAACATTTTCATTTACTACAAAAGACATTTACCATGTCTTACCTTGTTCAGGTCCCTCTTCATCACTGCAGCTGTTGATTGACCAGCTTGTTGAGACGTGACCAGTCCACCCAGGGTGCTTCCCAACATCAACAGACCAGCCAAGAGACAGCAAGAACTCCAGGAAGTGAGGCTGAACAATTCTGGAAGACTCCATGTTCTTCAGGATCTGAAACCACCATCAGCACCATATTGGTACAGAAGCAGGAAACAAGTCTCTTCCTCCCCAGCTTTTTAATTAAATTTTTGTCACCAACACAGTTTTGCCCAAATATAACTACAGAACATGCCAGGAGCCCCAGACTTTCTACATGGACATTACTCCCTGCTCCTCAGCATCCCCCTACCCGGCTTGGCCTTTTCCTAGTCAAACAACTTGACTTTCTGCCAGTATTTTCAAAGCCTGTAAACCAGTGAATTAAATGGCTGGAAACAGTAATTTTTCTCACTACTCACCTGTACATGACATAGAATGATTTAAAGGGCAGGTGTCACAGTATATTAAAGTATGAAACAGATTTTCCAAACCAATTTTCAGTAGCACTGAGTGCGCACTTTAATCAAACATCACACTGTACTGTTCACATTGAACTTTAATTCTACTTCTGACAGAGATCTGGGACATTTCCACATGTTAAGGCAATTTTTATCTCATTATGGCCAAGTGAGAGTTGAGCCCTTCACCAAACAGCACACAAGGACACGTGTGATTTGGATATCAGAACCATTGGGGTTGGTGGAACAAACAATCCATTCATACTTTCCGGGCCATGCAGGAATTTGTTTTGTGGCAGAGCCATCAATCATTTTGGCTTGTGCAGGGCAGAATACTGGGACACAGGCCTCAAGAAAACACAAATTGCAGGGATGGGTGCTGGAAGGAAAGCTTCTAGGCTGGAGGCTTTGTGTAGCCACATAGTCCTGACACTCCATCCTCATGCCTCATACAGTGTTCAGCAGTGACTAGAGACACTGCATTGAAATATTATTAATCCTCATTACTGAGCACATTGAAACCATAGTTGTGCTTCAGAAAAAGTTAGGGTAAGTGTGGGCTGGAAGATATATGAGCTCAATAAGAGCATATAAACATTCTAGTTCAGCAAGTGCACGTCCCAGCTCAAAGGCAGACCCAGCATATCTTGTTTCATAGGTGACTTTGCAGATGAAAAGATTCTGCACTGGCTACTCTGAATGACAATTTGAATGCTCACAGACAGATGATCCTGGTTTCAAGGACTGTGTCTCACACCCAAGTAGAAGGTGCTGCAGTGTTCTGCCAACTGTGCATTCAGTGACACAAGGAGTTGGCACAACGATTTATTATGGAAGCCACGCTTCTACTCTTTACTACAAGAGTTATGAATGGAATGAGAAGGTACTAGAGAAACATCCTTTCCTAATGAGCCCATTAATCCTCTTAGCATGTTTCTAGGTCACAAAGAAGTCACAACTTAGATTTGCACAAATTAACCTGATTAACCTAATCGCCTTTGAACCTAAATATTCTGGTGTAAAGACTTACAATGCAATAATACTTCCTTACTTGCAGAAAGTTTTTCATTCCTTTAACATGTGTTTAACATTAGAATGAAACCAAACTACCTTGACATTGCTCACTGCTGGAACAAACTGCAACCTTCCCTGCAAGCTGAGCCAACAAAGCTGAAATGCTTTTCTGATCTGAATCTTTGAACTCTACAAATAAGGACAATAAGGATAGAACAGATAATAAAAATACTATTAATATTATATATCTTATATATATTTTAAAATACATTAATTTGTTACAATAATCCTAAGGGTGAGCAACGTACTTCAACCTACAGATGAAGGGAGTATGCACTGACTTGCAGCTCGCACTAGTTCTGACACTCCACTCTAATCACCAGCACTGATGCTCTACCCACTTGGAAATTACCAGAAACAAGACAATATAGTCTAGTTGGCATTCTACACTTCCACTTACCTCCTGGCTAGTTTTCTGGCCTGCCTTCATGTAGAAAATGAAAACAGTATCAAAAGGACGACAAGGTAACAAATCCAAGTAGCCAAGGTCATCAAAAAACCCAGGAAGAGCAGAGTCAAGTGCAATCAGGTGAGGAGGTAGACGACTGTTAGTAGGTTCCTGCCCAATAGACAGAGTTCAACAGCTTAAAAACCCATCTTTCTTAACTGAAAGGTCTTTATGGCTTCAACGGCAATCCATTAAAATATAAAAAAAACAGTTTCCCTTCTCTAAGAGCAAAATTATACAGGGTTTTCTGATGCAATATAATCTTGTCACTGTAAATGAGCAACAGCAAACATAACAGGTTGACAATTTGTTGCATTCCACTCTCATTAAATACAAGTGGTACTTTGCCAGTGAGACATAATATTTTCCTCAAGAAGAGCACACAACAAAAACAGCAGATGCTTTAAGAATATTACAGCTATGCACACAGTTGCATGTGCAGTTTCGATTAACTTAAATACCAGTGATATGCAATATACTGAGCACATTCAGACATCATTTTTGCAAACACTCTACAGTCTACTTTTCCTGACGGCTTTTTGGAAGGAAAAGCAACAAATACAAAGGAGAATCCATTGGTAAGAGGCAGAATTTCAAATTAAGAATATGGATCACCTCTAAAAATACTTATTTTAATTTTAAAAAGAAACCTCTAAATCTACTATGTACCAAGTGTTTTATATATGTTTAAACTACCTCAGCACATCCACCTCTGAAGCAAAACTTCTATGGCAGTTATATTTCAGAGAGTCTTCAAGTACTACCCTAAAACCAACTCAAGCTGTGGAATGATTTTAAGTGTGAACATTTGAGTGTGATGGCTTATGCCCCGACTAAAAACAAAGATACAGACACCTATTCAGAGCATTTTCAACTTGAGGCCCAGCCTTTCACAACCTTGCTCTGAATCCTGGAATACTGCAATCTATCACTTGATTTGATTAGACTGCAGCTGAACAGTAGTTGAAAGTACATAGATGATCTTCCACTAACAAAACTTCCTTCTCCCTTTTGTCAAGCCAGATCACATGGGAACTGGAGGAACTGCACAACACCAAGAGGTATCAGATCACCTTCAATGCCTCTAAGGAGAGGAACCCGAAGTGAGACAGGAACAGACGTGCTGTCTGGAACTCCTGTGCTGGTGGCGGGGGCTTACACTCCGTGATGGGATCAGGAAAGCTCTTCTTCCGCCACTCCTCTTCACTTCTCTGATCTATGGAAGTCTCAAAGACAATCTGCTGAGCCATGCCATTCCTCAGCTTCTCATGGCGCTCTTCGAGCTGGAAAACATTGCATGAATTGCTGATATCACCAAAAGCACAAAGATCCTCTAAGAAAACAATTCCATCACTTAGGAAAGCTCTACAGCAGCAGCTGCAGTCCACCATCAGAATGGTTACTAAAACACTTTCAAAAAGACCTTGCAATACTCCAAAGTAAGCACCTAAACACCCCTTTGGCATAGGAGAGCTCTGTGAATATCCAGTATCAGCTATGGCTTCTCCTATTTAAGAGGACATAAACTAAAACAAATTAGATCCTGTGCAACTTTAAAATATGAGACATGCACTCTCTTCTTCCCTCAGAAAGGTCTCAAAAAGACCCTTCCATTTTCCCAGAAGAAGCAACAAGTGCAAGTCATTGTTTCCTACAGTACCAGGATCAGTAATAAAACATGTTGAGCAGTGTCTCCCAAATAACACAACCAAAGCACTGGCATCTTCCTGGAGAAGTGCATAGATTGAATTAATTTACAGAGGTTATTATTCCATTAATATGAAATCGGATAAGCCAAAGAGTAAAACAATTTACACTAAGACCTAAGTGCACGACTCATGAACAGACCAAAACCCCAAGAACAAAATCAAGTCAGAGACAGTTACTTACTTCCTGATTCACGATTTCATGTAAATCTGGAATGCTCAAGTCAGCTTTAACAAATGGAATCTTGTCCACTTCTTCAGGAAAAGGGCGTTGTTTCACACTGTGTTTCAACCCAACATCATTTTTAGGAGCTGGTCGAGGTTCTGGTACAAATGTCTGACAAAAAAAGGTTGTTTTTACATTCAAGGTATTGCATCACTAGACAACATTATAACAGATGAAAAACATTTTCCCTCCCCACCAAAACGACAATCATCTATTAGTGAGCAGCATTATTAAAAAACATTAAATACTTTAAACTAATAGACTTGTATTGAAAAGGTGACTGTAAATTTTAAAAAGACAACTGTCCATTTTGAAATCTATGAACTCTGCTAAGCATCTAGCCTGTAAACAGTTGCAAACCCCCCAAAAAAAGGCAAGCTTACATAGCAACATCTTATTTTCAACCCATTCTAACTGTATTCAGAGAAAGCTGGCAAGTATTTGAAAAGCTCCATTTCAACCCTCCTGACTCCTGACTGTCATGATCCCAACAAGCTAAGACCTCAAAGACAGCAGCAACGCTGTGATGCACTGCCAGAATAGCCAAAGGGCTTGCAGCATGGATCATGGTGCAATTTTGACATTACTACAACATCATGCTCTATACTGTCATTTTGTAATTCCAAACTTCAAGTTACCAAAGAAAGCAACAAATTATCTAGGTGCAGGTTTAGAGGTGCATCAGCTCCAAGCAAGCAAGACCTTTATGGCATCTTCAGGGTTGTTTCCTAAGTTTACTACTGATTACATTTCCAAAGAGCAAGACCATTAACAATTATGTTATAGAATGCCTTCAAGTTGGAAAAGTTCCCTTAAAACTGGTGAGGAGGTCAGCAGTCAGATCATGGCTTGTCCTTTAGTGAAAGAGGAAGCACACCTGGACTGAGATTATTTAGTTCAGCTCCAGAGATAGCAGAGCTCCAAACACATCCTGGATGGTCTTCCCAAAAGCTGCTTTATAGAGATTGTATTCATCTAAATGTGAACATACTAGCTAAGACTGACAAGCCCTCAAGTCAGCTTAGTGCCTTTCTTTTACTGAGGTCATGAGAAGACTTTAAAGATTTGGAGAAATTCACAGAGAGAAACTTTCATGACAAGAGTATGTGCTCCATTAGACAACTGCAGTAAGAAATTTCACTGTAAAATAAGACTGAGGTATTTCTCCTCCACCATTCCTCTCCACAGCTGTTCCAGAGTTCCTCTAGATAATTTTTTTCACAGCAGGTTTACAGCCATCTTTGCAACATCAGGTTTTGTAGCTTGAAGACCTGTTGTCTCTGCAGCGCCACATTCTACACCTCCAGACTTCACTCTCTCTGCCTCTCTGCTGCAAGGGCTTTGTCTGACACCTGGAAACCAGCCCTGCCTACACACTAAATACACTGTACCTTATCCCATCACTTCAGAAGATGCTATCTGAAAAAAAAAAAAAAAAGAAAAGAAAAAAGAGAACTCTCCCTCCCTCAAGCAAGTCTGCAAGATGAGAAAGCAACAGCACTTTCACAGCCTGTAGTTAATCACAAGTGGTAAAGAGTCACCAGAGATGTGGCACATTACCTACAGCTAAAGGCCCCGTGGCTCAGCCTTAACCAGCTTTGGGGGGCAGTCTCATATTAGTGGAATTTCTGCTGAACATCTCTAAGTTATAGATTTCTTTACGGGCTTTGATAGAGACCTTTTGATTCGCTTTAGCTCCTCTTGGTAAAAGACAGAGTTGCTGGGCCCACGCAAATCTTCCAGATGTCCCACGGATCAAAACCGTGACAGAGGGGAAAGAGTCATCTGCAAAGCACATGGGTAAAGAGAATAAGACATCATCATATACTGCAAACAGTTCACTTTGTAATCATTCAACAAGAAGAAAATGCAGGCATGACAGTGGGGATTTTTCTTTCATGGTTAACTCTTCCCTGACCCTGAAGAAAACTCCTGGTGAGAATCAAGAAAATCTCTCTGCAGCAGCTAGTGCTAGTCTACTATGTAAGTTCAATACTTGCCAGCTCAGTTTCATCATAAAAAGCAACTTTTTGTCCAAATTCATGCAGATCACAATTTCTCCAAAGACTTCCAGGGAAATAAAAGAAGATTTTCTAGTCACTGCCTGTTTAGGGGAGACAATGACAATATGGAGACACCATTTCCATGATGCTTCCATGACCTTCCGCAAAAGTTCCTCACAAATAGCAGCAGTAAGAACAGTGGAAGGACAAAAGATACCGGTCAAGCAAAGACTCAGAACATTCTGATTCCACATCATGGAAAATTTTTCCCCACAAGGAATAGGGATACAGAGAAGTTGTCCTCTCAAGTTTGCAAGACCCACTTGGGCAACACTAGATTGTGTTATCCTGGTCCAAATCCAGTGCTGGCCTTGTCTACAGCAGGAGGTCAGACTACAGAGTCCTGAGGTGCCTTTCTACTGGCATAATGATGGTTTTAACATTGCAGAGATTTCAGTCTCCCTTCAAGATTTAAAAGGCTACCAATATTAGTCACCTTAGATGAGATCATCATACTTCATCATAAGTTTTTTTTCTTAAAGGTATTTGCATTTATCTTTTGTGCACATAACCACACACTGGCACCATCAGGTAATTAGCAGAACTCTATTCCTTCCCCAGTATTCCCTGGGAAGTTCAGGGTGCAGCACAGCCTATGCACACCCTGTACATAAGCACACACACAGAACACCCAAACCAGCTCCTCAGTCACTCCCATGATCTGCCTCAGAAATGGCCTGATGTACTTGTGCATTATTGCAATTAATCTTGTAATTCAAAGGGGATTTGTAAGCAAGTTATATGCAGCAAGAAAAGATAATCTAACTTTTGATTCCAACAGCTTTGCAGGATTCCACAGTAACACATTTAGCAAAGGCAGAGTGAGAATGAGAAGTGCTTAGCATTCTCTAATCCACTCCAGTCAGGAACACACTTGCTCCAACACAGACCGGGAGTGGACACATGGCAATGGCTCCCAGCATTGTCACTTCCTGCAAGATCTATTCAGCGATTCTCAACATGGTCAGAGCACTCGGGACAACAACTCAACTTCTCGGCACTAGTTCATGCAGTTCTGTGCAATATCTGCTTTCAATATTAGTTTTTAGGCTCCATCTTATCTACAGATGAGGAAAATGTATTTGGGAGAGTACATCAGCTCTAACATAAGTTAGTCTTTAACTGAGGTAACACGTTAAAATTTTCATCTGTTCTATTAGATAACACCATGACACGTGAAGACTTAAGGGAAATCAGTTATTCTGTTCAAAGCATCATTTAATACCAGATTTTTGTAATAGAAGTTCCTGAAGATCAAAGTTTATGAGGCTGAAATTAGTTAGACTCAGCTGTGAAAGGCAACACCCTGTGACAAATCTCCTTTACAGGAGGTGTCATTGATAGAACGGGATCAGACATGGGAAAGTTTTAACAGCATCTAAGCAACTAAAACCACCTGAGTTGAAAGCACCCACAGAAATATGCAGTAATAGGAGGCCTAAAGCAAGCAGCAGTAATGGTGCAAGCATAAAGGAGACCTACTAACCATATGTTAAGCACTTATCTCTATCAGGTTTCCTATACGCCTAAGATTTTTATTTTTGTACGAACAAGGATGTTTCAATTCAAAAGCGTAATGCTATTGCTTTTGTCCATCACCCATTATTTCAATGGCAGTCAGCAGCAAGAATATGGTCTAACTGGTTGAAATACTTGGACAACTGCATGAACAATTTGGGTAGGCTTGTGCACGTTTGATTATCACTGGCATTGAAGTTATTCCCAGCACTTCATCCCAGAGCAACACTGTGGGTGTGCTCTGTGTGCCCACCCACAACCTGAAACGTGAGAGAGACACTTGATGAAGTACCTTTGTTTCACAGCTCTGTATAGAAAGTTTTAGCCTGAGAAAGAAGGAAATGGGAAATCTGAACTTACTCTGTTCATTCCCTAGAGGCTGCTCCAACATGGCCAGGATGACGCTGTTATCCAAAACAAAGTAACGGAAGCTGTGCTTGTTTATGGTAGGGAGACGGGAATATTTAATTAATGTGGTTTCATTCACCAAGCTGCAAGGAGAAGCAGGACCACTGGGAGAAGGAAATGCTCCAAGTAACTGCATAATACTGCAAGTGAGAAAAAAGTTGAGAGTTATGTCAGATTAAGTGAACTGTTCCACCCAAGCACAAACTTTCACTCACATTCTTCATCTGTATCTTGGCCTAGCAGTTACATTATCAAGACACATTTGCCTTCACCCATCAGGTTGCTTTAAGCAACCAGCACCTTCAGAAAAACATGCATGAATACCTACAAAGAAAGGTACTCTGCCTATAGAATGAGCTTCTTTATAGCCTGAGTTATAAAGCTATTAAGACATTCTTTAAAGCATGAAAATCTGTACCCTTCCATAGATTTATGTTCATTTTTAAAACATTATTTCTCAACCATCCATACTTTAGCCCTTTCATATCAACAAGCAGGACAGACATGGCGGTGCACTAGTTAAAATTACCTTTGCTTTCTTCAAGTACAGATTACAGTAACTTAAAACCCTTTAAGGGGTTGGCACCCTAAAAAGTCCAGGATCACACAAGCACAACTATCACAGATAGTAATCTTCCCTGGAAGAAAGCCTCCAGGTGGGGTCCAACAGTGTCCGCCTCCTTGGAGCCACAGCCTTAGGAAGCTCCTAGAAGCATTGTTTTAAATAATTTGAAGTTGTTCGGGGTCTCACTAACACTATTAGAAATTGAGTTGTCCAGTGTAGGACTGAAGTTAGCATGATTTAAGTCAGGACTTTACCACCCTTAACACCAACACCCAGAGCAAAAGTAAGTCTATTGATTGCCCTCCCCACACACTTTTCCACTTTACTGTGAAAAGAGTTTCACCTTTCTAAATTAAAATAAACGCTCTCAGGCAACAATATGGATTTGTCCACAAGCTCCAATAAGTAGTTGCTTTTTCTTGGAAATCACACAGTTGTTTTTTACTAACAGTAATGTTTATAACAGTTGGTTCTGAAGCAGAGCAAAAAAGAAACCAGCTATTGCCTTTTGCAGAACATATTTATCCTCCCCATCCTCAATCTGTCCTGTCTGCCACTATGCTGTTCAGCCCATAACACAGTGCTTTCCAACTTCTCTGGAGCAAATCCCAATTTTCCTCTGTGCTTCCCTTCCCCAACCCACACATTATCTGTTACTGCATTTCCAGCAGAACCTCTCAAATACATTAATCAAGCCCAATGCTGTGGGCAGGAAGCCATCCGATCCTGCTGCAGCATACATGTGCTGCATGTGCCATTCCCTGCTGTCACAGTGTCTACCAGTTTTCTAACCAGAGTGGGGACAGCATATGTTGTCAGGCTGAGAAGAGGAAATGGGAAGACAAGAGCTCTGGAGTAGAGTGAAAGAGAAGGAATTGCTGTCTGCAGAGAGGCCTGGCCAGGAACAGAACACCACAGATGGAGGAAGGTCTGGGTTATGCTGTACAGGGAAGAGAGGAAGAAGGAGGGGTAAACAGTGATCAGAGGGATGTTTTCTGTTAACACCTGCAAGGGGAGGGGACAGATCTAAGGCAGTGCACAGCCCTGCCCAAAGGGCAAAGATAGGGAACTTCTGCCTAACTTCTTAAACGCTCTTGTTACATCAGGGACCACCAGCTGCGAACTCCCTATTGAACACACTCAGACAAGGCAATACTAAACACTGAAGATGCTCTGACAAATTACATACCATGTCAGTGTAGCTTCAGCAGCATCCTTCACTCGCATGGATGCAGGGTTTGGCTCCTTATCTCCTTTGTACTTGACCTCCTGTTCGCTGTTTTTGGATTTACTCCCTGAAATGCCCAGCTCCACAATCTCCAGTACCTCTTTTAAACAATCCTAAAACACAAGAACCACCGTGAAGCACTTGGATAAACATATCCAAAACTTCAGGAAAACAGTGATATATCATTAAGTAAAAAAAACCACTGCTTGTAATATGAGCTTTTTAAAGGCAGAAGATTACTCCTACACTGTTAAAATGAGATCACGTTTGCTACAGAACTGGTAGTTTTTCTGTTTACAGATGTGTACTTATATTATCTATTTATATTCTATGGTAATGGTAAAAATGGTAAAAAGTTCTCTGAATGGATAAATACACACAATGTATTTCATTACATGTATACCAAATTGCCAAGGGGACTATTATGAATGCAACAGAAAAATGTAAACATACTTTAAGAGATAATAAATGTATTTCTAGGACTCTCTGCAGAAGTTTTAAGTTATAAGCACATTTAGAACAAACTCATCTGGAAAGCTGCAAGAAATCCTTTTCCAAATTTTTCAACTGCCAACATCATTAATAAAATACATCAGTATTTCATTAGTAAAATACATCATGGTATCTAATTCACCAAGAGAAAAATAAGAACATTCTAAAAGTACATTGTAAAAGCTTCAACAAATCTATTACAGGAGAGGCAAACACTCAGTAGAACTACAGATATGACACACCAGTGCTGTGCAGAACAAAATCACCCACTGAAAATATTCAGATTGCTACAGCAAAGGTTCAGATCTCATGGCCTGAGCTACAAAATAATAAAGAAATACTTCTCCTGCATAAATAAGTGATTAAAACTGAACACAATTGGTCAGGTTGTACCACCAGAAACCAGACAGGGTTCTGTATCTTGGCCTTTGTCCTTCCTTATAATCATTGTTGATATAGAATAAAAGGTGAAGAGAAAAATCAAAGTTCTCTAACAGAGTAAAATTAATGAGCATTGAGCTGAAAAGACTGGCCACAAAGAATTGCAGCAGGAGTTTACAGAGTACCAATACAGCATGTGAAATTTAAAGCAAATGTCAGATGAGGCACCTGGAAAGCTGCATTTTTAATACTTGCAAACGTAGGGAAAGGTTCTCATCTGACTATCAGGAATGAGCTACTCAGTGTCCAGGACATAATGCACACAGTACGTAACACTATCTCTCTATAGTGGTAATTGAAATAAAAAAAGACCATAATAAAATGGAATAAAGCATTATGCAACTGGCTAAACACAACCTGTGTCACATCCAGTGAACCTATCCTATCACAGTGACCTACTGCCATGCTAGTCAGTACTCCAAAGCATTTGCAGAAAGCATCTTTAAATGAAGTTCTGCTTGTGGGTTTTCAATCTTCTTATTTTTAAAAAATATGTATATTTCTTTATGTTACAGAATAAACAAAATATAAAATATAAAGATATGTAATGCTCTAAAAAGATAACAAAATGACATAATATATCTATTATCTATAAAAACACAGAAAGATCAAAGTTTGCTCTGAGACTAACAATGAAAATGTGCATTCAAATTTTTTCATTTTTTATTAAACAGCGGGGCAGAAGGCAATTGAAAACATGTCTTATTTCCTGCGCTTCTCAAGCTTCCCAAGTAAATTCCACCTTATACTGAGCTATGCTTCAGTTTCTAGAAAATTGGCGAATCAAACTCTTATTATCAAAATATTAGCATCAAAGGAATTCTGTTAAGCCTAGAAAATGCTTTAGTTAGGCAAGAGCTGAGAAATGAGGAGAGTCATGGCTACTTAATTAACGGGATTTGGCTACTATTAATGGCTACTAATTAATGGGATATCCCATTAATTTCTATATTTCTCTTTTGGTTTTATCCAAGTTTCTGTTCTTCTCTCTTTTTCCAGTTCCACAAAGCAAGAAGAAAGACTGAGACATTCCTATAACTATACAGGTGTTGTAGGTTAAAAAGGAAGTGATTCTTTTGGGAGGTTGTGGTCAAACCTATCAGTGCTTGGATTTGAATACTGGCACTTGGTTTGCTGAAGTTGAGAGACTGCTGCTTTTGTTGGAACTGGGCGGGGCATCCTTAAAAGGGGAATCCTAAAGGCATTTCTGGTCCATGTGCAGTGGTGAGAGCACTGGACATAGAAAGAAAAAGTCACGAGGGCAAATGTTCTCCGGGCGGTGCCACGAGTGACACGGAAACACAGGAGGTTTCAATTGTGTTTCCAGGGGAAGCCTATGGTGCAAGGGGAGACTCCTCTCTCCCTGATGGACTTGAGAGTTGATTATTTGAGGGGTGATGATGGACTCAAAAGTTGATTATCTGAGAGATGGTGACAGTGGTGATGGAAATCTGTGGTGTTATTTCATGCTGTGGAGGAAAAGGGCGGAGGAGGAGGAATGTATTTGGAGGGTTTTCATTCTTAGTTTTGTGTCTGTTCCTTTTTAGATATTGTAGTTAATAAAGTTTGTTTCCTTTATTCCTAAGTTGGAGCCTGCTTTGCTCTGCTCCTGATCACATCTCACAGAAGCCACTAGGGAAAGTGTATTTTCATGGGGACACTGGCATTGTTCCAGCCTCAAACCATGACAACAGGTAATTTTAAATCCAAAAACTGTAGCAAATAATGATCATGAACTAAAATTCAGAAGTATTTTGCACAGAAACTAGTTTTTAAATTCTTAAGAAAGCTAAGCAAACCCCACTATTTTAAAGTATTGAGAACAGACAGGTTAGGCACAAAAGGCATTTCAGATGCAGCACTCAAAACTCTATCCACGGGAGACTCTGACCTTCTCATCCAGCATGTCAGGGTGCTCCGTGAGCCAGACACAGAGGCACTGGAAAGCTGCCACGATCATGGAGTGCAGGTCCCGGGAGTGCAGCGGGGCCGGGCGGCTGCACTGGTAGACGATGTAGCTGCACACGGAGCTGATGGCGCGCTTCCGATCCGCAGGATCCACCACCACCTTCACCTGCGTCAACAAGGGCGACAGCGTGAGAATGCCTCCACAAGTATCTTGGAGAGAAAAACAGTTTTTGAAAACATTTCTAAATGCAGTTTAAAGAAACAGCAATAAACAGTTGAGCTCTTTTCTGATTACAGTTTAAAATTGCAGTAAAATTATTTAACAGTGATGGATATTGAAACTAAAAGTAAGGAAATGCTGCACTCAGGTGTGACCACATTGCATAGCTTGGTTTCAAAGGGCAGGCATGGTACCAGTGTGGCTTGGTAAGAAACCAAATGTAAGCTGAATTTGCAGTATTAAAACTTTTTTCCCCACAAATGCCTCTTCTTCAGCTCTAGCAACTAATTCTGTATCTCCAAGAACCCACTCACTGCTAACTCTCGCTTCCATAGGGCTTCATTCTGCTAACTTCCCCCTAGACATATTCTCAGCACAATAACTTTCACCACTGGTAAAAGGAACAAAAAAAGCCAACCCAGGACAAGCAGACTGATAAAAACCCCATAACCTCTTTCCCACAACTCACTGCAAAGACCTCTCTCTGGTTTTTTCCCAGCTCAGAGCTGCAGAGAGCAAAGCTCCAGATGAGAAGGTCAGGAAACAGCACAATGAGCCATGAGGACCTGCACTGTAAGGCTAAAGAACTTTCTCTCTTATTCATGGCTTGTGACTCAGCATAGGAACAGATGTATTTTTCTACTCTGTAGCACCTGACCATGCTTATCTAAGCAGGAAGGTGGATGGACTTGCTGGTGCCAGCACTGAAGCCTGGCAGCTGTACTCCACAAATGGGAGAGACAATTCAGAGCCCCAGGATTGAGCTAGAACATCCTTCAGAAGCTCTTGATCTACAGCAGAGTCCCCTCAAGATGAGTTTATGCAAGGCAGGTTTGTAAACCAGCACTCCTGCAGGAAACAAGATTTTTGACTTCTCTAAGTCCCACTGATAGCCTGGTGCTGAACAGACACAAGACAGGGGAACAGCCCCTACCTGAGAAAGGCTTTGGGACATGTCACCTCCAAAGACACATGCAGAACAAGTCCCCACAGTAGTTTTGCAGGAGGAAGTGATCTATTTTTTCCCACTTTATTGTAAAGGGGAAATATATTCCAGGGCAAGAATTACTTCAGTTGCATGAGAATTATACAAAGACTACAATATTTAATATTAATCTGGGGATACATGTGAAAAGATAATATATTTCCACATTCCCATAATCTTGGAAGAAAAAAAAAAACAACAAACCAAGAAGACCCTGGCTTAACCACACAAGCTACAGAATGCCCTGGTTCTGTATGGTACTCTATAAGATTCAATAATACACATTAATTCATTTCAGAACACCTTCAAATACATTTGTCAGTTCATGCTACTGCAGTAGAGAATAAACACCCAGTCCAATATGGCTCAGTGCTGACTTAATGTTCTCAAAACTGCCTGAGACACACATTAAAAAAGATCTGTTGAGTTCCTGAGGGATTATGACAGGAAATGCTGAATTGTCACATCAGGTTATCATGGCTGCTCTAAGTACACTTCCTATTAGCAATACACTACGTTTTATCAAGCTCTAGAAACTATTTCCAAGATGAGAGGGAAAGAGAAAAATGGTACAACAGAAGTTTCAGCTAAAAAGCATTCCCAGGCCATGTGTCCTTTGAGCCACAGTATATTTACACTGGGAGAAAATTACCTACAACAGCAGTACTGTTTCTTTTTCATTTCCAAACAGAATAGTTGCTGACAAACTCAGCCACAGAATCTGTTTTGTGGCATGATTTTCACCCAAGGCAGCAGGACCACAACCACCCTGTGAGAAGGGGCCAGAGCACACCAAGCTGCATGTCTCACCTTTGCCAGTCCAGAGAGCAGCTCCAGGGCAGCCAGAGAGATACTCATGTCCTGCCTCCACTGGGAGTTGAGCCTTTGGGTTACCAGGTGAATGCTGCGGATCAGCAATCCAGCAGCTGTATCTGTATGAAGAGCTAGGATATAACCCCAAAACCACACACCACAGGGAGGAAAAATAACTAAGCATTAGTGACAAAAAGCAAAGCACAGGCACAAGGCAAAGCAGACACAATACAGACATAAAATAAACCCTAACTATCTTGAAACTGGTTGCTGCCTTTTGCACAGGCTAACTCCCTCACGCACTCTCCAGGCATTACACAAACCCATTAGGACCAGCTAGTTCAATTTAATTTTTTTTTAAGACATTCTGAATAATCCCAGAGCTCTACTGCATTTCAGCAGCAGAATAGCCAGCTTCAGGTTTTGCTACTGTACTTAAATTGTCTGTCATGTTACATCTTTTAGTTTCTGGAAAAAAAATGCTTTGGTAGTATATATTAAACCTTAGTAGTTGTACTGAGGAACTAAGGAGAAGAACATGTCATTTCAGATATCTGTGTCAGAAGTTTACAATTCTATCCACACCTAATATTTATCAAAAGCTGCACTAGTTCAATAGACACAGATAATGAAAGAATCAGTGCTAGAGAAATGATTCTTTTTAACCTTCTGTGTCCTTGAACCTTCAACTGAAAATTAAAAATAGGTAGTGTTTTAAGTATCAGTTGTTCTCACTTCAAAATACTACGAAACATAAATACTATCTGTATTTGTTAAAACTGAAGTACACAAATTAATGTCAGAAATAAAAAAATCGGTCAATGACCAGTTATGACGAGACATGAGAACTATGACACATAAGACATATCCTTGTCAAAATTTAAATTACCTCATTTAACACTTAAGAACTATGTCCAGTGTCACACCAGGAACAGATTCAAGAGTTTACTATGGCTAAACAGTAAGAATAGACCATAATGTTTTCAATTTTCTCTTGTTTAAAGCATCCAGTGGAAACACCAATTATTTTCATAAGCTTGTTACAACCTTACCTTCTGTGCACAAGAAATTTTAAAAATCCAATAAAATGAATACACTACAAAATATATTTCAAGTTATGTCATGGTATGAAGACTGCAATTCAAATATTTAGAATATCTTTTAAATCTTACAAATGAGTATTTTTACAAGCACTTATAAATGAAAAAACACATAAATTAAACACAATTCAAATGGTGTGCAGATAACTAGCGCTTTGATAATTTCAAACAAGCAAATCCTTGGGAAAAGGGAAAGCACCAACATGTTTTTATGAATCCCTGGAATATATGAAGCCTTTCCTGATAATCTCCCTCCTCTGGCTATTTACAATACTAGATGAAAAAAAACACCACCATTTTTGGCCGGTGATGATAGAATTGTCAGTCTAGGCTACAATAGAGTAAAGGTGGTTTGTTTTCACATTTAATTGGCCAACATCAGTTAAACTGAAGATCAAAGGAGCAAATGAAATTACAGGATCTTGACAGCCAGCTTACCACACACAGATTTAGAACATGGATTTTACTACAGAGAGTCAAAAACAGACAGTTCAAGACATAGCAAAATAAAGTTAATTACTAAATTCTATTGTTACAGTGTATGACATATCGCAAGCCTTCTGCTTACTTGCTGTATAAAAGCCAGAGTCCCTGAAATGTTCTTTAAATGTGGTTTAAGAAAAGGTGCTGCAGAGGCCAGGCAAGCATTTGAAATGCTATCAAAACTAATGAAGCAATTAATTTACACTTGGTGAACATATATACCATTCTTGTTGACAGAAATGAAGTGTCTTGAAAACATAAGGTAAAGTTTGCAAACACCTTTTTCATAAGCTTTTACATTCTGATTTTGAAAAGGTTTAGGAGTCCTTTAGTAGGGTTAAGACAACCATGGAAAGGCACATGTGAATGCAGGCTTGCAGCACACAGCTGGGCTATCCCCCTTGTTTCAAACACCTGGGCACATTAATCCTTTAGCCAGAACTGGAACAGAAAAACCCAGGAAACATCAACCTGCCATACCATGCTAGGGTTTTCCAAAGAGCTATCCTTACCATAATCCCTCAGGAGGGCCTGTGCTGGCCGCTCACTGTCAGGCGTCGTGGGCTCTGTGCTGCCACCGCTTGCAGTGCTAATGCCACTGTTCGTGCGACTGTGGCTTTTGAAGAGGTTGTTCTCACCACCATTCTGCAGAGTGAAAGGCAGTTTAGAGAGATGAGAAAATTTTTTAGCTCCCCATGCTAAAAAATACAGAAGACCAAACCTCAAGATGCTACCTGAGCCCCTTTCAGTAGCAGGTAAAGTGAGGAATGCATTCTTTCTAAAGAAGCGACTTCATAAACAAAAATACTCACTGTTTCCATCTGACAGCCAATGGCTTCTAGCAGTGCTGAATCCTGAACAATATTTAACATTGCACCTGCAGAATCAGATAGAAGAAGGTAACTATGGATTACAGAAAAATTCACTACTAAAAGTTACCAACCAGCACAGAAGGTCTAATGTAGAGGTTTGCAGGTCTGTTTTATAAAATCTCTTATTAAAACACAGGACTTGCTTTGAGCTTAGCCATTTGAAGCAGATGAAAGTTGAGACAGAGAGTGCTTTCAGCTATGTTAAAAATGCTTTGAACAGAGTCTAAAAAAGACTGAGAGTGGATCTCATCATTACATACCAGTATCTTAAGGTGGGTGTCCAGAGGATGGTGTCAGACTCTGTTTGGTGGTACCCAGCAAAAGGACAAGGAGTAATACACAAACTAAAATACAAGAAGTTCTACCTCATGAGGAAAATGTTCCTTCCATGGAGGGTGGCAAAGCACTGGAAGAGGCTGCCCAGGGAGGTCATGGAGTCTACCTCTCTGAGAACATTCAAAACCCACCTGAACAAGTTCTTGTGTCACCTGCTCCTGCTGACTCTGCCTTGGCAGGGAGTTAGACTGAATGATATCCAGAGCTCTCCTTCAGCCCAAATTTTCTGTGACAGGTCTGTCAAATTTCTCAGTTTGGAAGGATCTTGGCTTCAGAGAAGGGCTGGTGTGGCTCATTTAAAAACTCAGGTTACCTGCTTGGCAGCATCACCCCCAGATGATGAGGGAAGCAATAAGGACATGGACCTGAAACTGGCTGACACTGCCACATTTGGTGGCTTCAGTTTAAATTTTCTGCCTCCTTCCCCTGTCTCATCTACCAATGAACATTTAGGAAAACAAAACTTATTCTGTGAAGGGAAATGACAGGACAAGGGGGAATGCTTTTACACAGAGAGGGCAAGGTGAGGTGGGATGGTGGCAAGAAATTCTTCCCTGTGAGGGTGGGAAGGCCCTGACACAGGCTGTCCAGAGAAGCTGTAGCTGCCCCATCCCTGGAATGGTCCAAGGCCAGGCTGGACAGGGCTTGGAGCAATCTGGTCTAGTGGAAGGTGTCCCTACCCAGGGAATGGGGGTGGAATGCATGGTGGAATAGCAGGGTGGAATGATATGAGCTTTATGTTTTTGGTTTTTTTTTTCCAACCCAAACCACTCTGATTCTATGAAATGCACCACTTGCTGCCAAACATTTATTGGCAGATGGAAACAAACCCTGCTTTTTTTGAGAAGCTGGTGGCACATGTGAGAATTTCTGACTAAACCAGTTAAATTCAGCAGGAAATAACTTCACATATGGAAACAGGAGCTTAAGAGGAGAAATGTTTCTTAGGCCAAAACCTAAGGTTTTCTCTGAAATCCATAATGATGAATCCTTCCTAAAATTACAACATTTTTGCCTACTTCCATTTCCAGTTATGACTGACTTTCTGTGCCAGAATGTGCTTTACTTTTGCTTCTACTTTTCAAGTACTACTCCACATAAAAAGAGAGAGATTAACAAAAATGTGAGGCTTTTTAAGATATTTTCATAGTATGAGGGAGATTACACATATGACAACCTACCAGTTTAAACCTTCTTCTTGCAAAGCAACATATCACTAATAACCCATATTACCCCAGACTAAGTAGACTAAGACAGACATTTCTATAATACAGTTAATAAATGAAAAAGCTGAAATAACCTAGTATCATTTGAGTGTTGTTTGGATCAGTTTCCGTTTGCAAAGCTCCTATAAGGATATTCACAAGCCTCAGCTTCAAGGACAGGAATGTTACTGGTTTATCGTATGCTGAGCTTTCGTCATTGCTGAATTTCCCTTCCAGGACAACCTGAAGAAAAAATACACTTAGTTCAGTATCAATTAAAGATCATGTCAGCAGGGTTTCAAAATCCAACATTCATAGCACACACTGCTACCGACACCCTGTAATATGGTCTTACTCTTTCACGTTCACTGGAGACGTTCTGGTGCTAAAGAAAATACTCAATAAAACCCACAACACATCCAAATCCCACTCCCAGGGAAAGAAAAATAGAACACAAAACACAGTGATAAATATACTACCTCAGACTTTATGGTTCCAAAATGATGAGGGAGAGGCAACAGAGATAGCAAGATGTTAATGGAAGCTCTTCTTAGCTCTGTGGGATTTACATAGATTTTAAACTTCGAGAGTTCCCTGCAAATCAAAGCATCAGACAGTTAATCAACTTTTCATAAAATCTGGAGCTGAACGCAACTAAGTTAATATCAAATGTGCACCCACTCAATGGTCTTAAGTAATTTGCAGTATGTAATGTAGCTGTTTCTTTCTAAGACCTATCCAAAAGAAGCAGCGGCTCATATTTAAGCCCAGGAGATAAATAATGCTTTTTGTCTAAATGCCCACCATCAAAACGAAACATAGTACCAAGACATAACACATACATTGAAAAAGGCATGCAGAGACTACTATTAAGTGCCTAACTTAGCAAAACATTCAGAAATCTATAAAGCTCTGATAAGAACCTACTCCATCAGTCTAAATTACCAACTTTCCCATTTAATGACGCATAAGATTACTGACTTATTGAATACACTGCAACAACAGCCACTAATTAATATCTTGTGAAAGTTCACTTTAAAATCAATAGGCTTTCAATACATTTTTTACAAATTTCAATATATTCTCCTATTCTTAAAGGCACTGCTTTGCATCAATTAATATGCAGCTAATTTCTATTTCATTTAAAATAAGCACTGTTATTGCTTTAAAGAAAACTGCATTAAATAAAACTGAAAATTTGAGCTTACACAGTGTTGCTACTATCACCATTGAATACACACAGTGGGCCCCACACTGAAGAATTCCTTTGGTGAAATTTTGCAGGAATGACAAAAGACAAACACCTCCCAACATCTCTGATAATGTTTATATGGAAATGGCAATTTACCTGTCAGGTAAAATTGTCTCCAGAGCTGAAATGAAGTAGGGAACCACAACATCAATTCCTTTCAGGTCACAGCAGAATAGAGGAGGGGAGTTTAAAATAACACTGGCAAGAACCGGGTGGCAAACGAAATCTGCTATCTGCAAACCCTGAATTAAAAGCATGTAAAATCTGACAAAGAAAGATAAGATTTAATTATTTGCACATAAAATCATCTGAATCCCACATGATTCTGTAGCCACTATTTGATCTTGTCTACATAAAATAGAGTAAGTTTCAAAAACAGAACTAGGAAACGTTGATATAAACCTCCTACATTACTTAAGCACAGGCAAGCACACCTGACCAGCTTAATAAACCCTCACAAATGACAGGTGTTTCATACAAAAAGCCAGTGCAGCACAGTTTTACTGAAACCTTTGACTTGTTGCAACACCCTGACTTGGAGCTGAGTAAGCACAACCAGCTGGTTACTAACAATGGATCACCTGCTCTCCACTACTCCCTTCCCAAGTAAGGGTGGGAGCAAGACCTTGATTTTAACTCCCCAATATGAAAAATACTATGAAATCTTGGCGGAGGCAGTGGACAGAACAATGGACAGGACGTCCGGACAAGGCACACTGATCAGCAATTTGGAAAACGAGACCAATCTTAACCATCATAACCACTTCAAATGAAAAAGCAAGGGGAAAAACCCAGCTACCCAGTTAGTTTCTTTTGCAGGTTCTTGTTAGAGAACATGTATACCCTCTTAATTGTTTCAAAGGTCTTGCAGACACAGAGAAATCCCACTGACTGGCCAAGAGAAATATGAACTATCTATACAAAAAATACTACAATATCCAAGAAATAAAATTTTTCAGTCTTCTTGGAAGTTTTAATGCCATCTGGGACAAATGTACTTGAAAAGTTTGAGAGAATCGTGATTTAAAACTGATTCTCTGCCTCTAGCATTTGATACTTTACATAACAAAAATTTGTGAAAAAGGCATACTACGACAGGCAATACTGCTTCATTTTCTCAGAAGTAAAACTGAACACAGAGGTAGTTCAAACATAAATTTCAAATAAGGTTTCAAATAATGTGATATTACTGCATTTCAGTACTCAGAGGTTGAAAAAAAAGCAACTACAAAAATCAAACCCAGTGATGTGGTATTTGACAGCACAAGAATCTTTACGGTCTAATAAAGTATACAAAGTCTTATGCCTGCACACTTATTTTTTCCATCTGAACAATATTCAGTGACAAACTCAACAAAAATAAAAATACAGGAGGCAAGAAAGTGCCAAAGAAAATGTTCCTTCCAGCTTGAGGCACTTTAAGGTACTCTCCTTCAACCGAAATCTGAAGAAAACCTTCAGTGAAAAGCAGCATCATGAAAATGTGAGAGGAAAACAGTGCTGGGTTTAGCCAGGAATCCCACCTCCAGCCTCTGAAGGCCAGCTAGGTGTTTTTAAACTGGCAACACAGGATTCAGACAGCAAGTAAATGCTATTCAATGGAATTAGTCTGCATCATAAAGTTACACCAATAAAGCAACTGGAAGATAGGTTAGTACCGGGATAGGTAAGCTGGTAATATTTCCTCCCCAGTCTTCTTGCTACAAAATATCCTACACAGTGTCCCGCATGCCTCTGCCCTTCCTGCTTCATAGTTGTCTGGGAATTCACTTGCATCAAACATGGGGTTGGAAGCCATAGTGTCAGTGGACATTTGGGATCCTTTCCGGCGGAATTCCACACTAGCCTGCGTTGCTAGAGCTGGGAAGAGAAAAAACAGCGTTTCACTGTACGTGATAATGTACAGAATAGGCTCATGGGATCCTGGACACAAAGATCAAGTCCAATTTAGTAGTTAACATGAAGCTATTAATTCACTGCATTTGAGCCAGTGCCTCTGTTCAGGAAATATTTGTGGGTGTACCTAACTTGCTTACTTGATAAGGATGACAACAACTGACCTTCATATCCTAGAGACTGTCCCAACTTTTTGCTGGGAAGAGAGTGCTTATATCCAATACTAGTTTCCTACCCTCTCTCAAAGGGCAAGGATCTGCCTCACCTGTTTCTGGTCCCCACAAAAATGAAATGCCACCTTCTCTTGCTCCCTTAAAAAACAAAAAAAAAATTTCAACGGTGCCATTACTATTGACCTCCAAGGAAGTGCTTCACTTCCAGTTGGCCAACTCATGCTGCCCTGAATACCAAGTGGCTTTCATCCAGTTTTGTTGTACAAACATACTTATTTAAAAAAAATAAAAACATTTTAATGCTCCATATGACAAAGAGTTGTGGAATCCCATTCTCCTAATGTGGTCTCTTTCCTCACATGACCACTAAAACTGCCAAATAAATAAGAGAGTCTCCATAGAGCAGCTACCATGGGCTGGCCATCTCCTGCTCCCTTATCCTACAAGAAGCTCTATGAACCTCTCAGAAGGGCCTGACCTGGTTCTGCCCAGCTCTGTGCTCCCTCCCTGCAGGCCAGTTCTGTCAGCCCACACCACTCCAATCCATGTCCTTCTGGAGAGATTTCTGGTCTCCCTTTCACACACCAGCATTTTGTGGATATGAGACCACTTCTCTGTTGGCTACATCCCTTCTTCCAAGATAGCTACCAAAACAAAATACATACTGCACTCAATGTGATTCTTTTTTTCATTTTTTCCCCTCTTCCTTGGACAGCCTTGCTCTAAGATTACTAACATCTTAAAGAGTGTGTCCTTGTTCTTAGCTAAGACTACATGGATTTCCAAAACTTTTATAGACTACAAAAGCAAAGAGCAGACAATATGCACGCCTGACATAACGACACCTATGTGTTTCTACCAGCAAAAGAGAACTTCTCCTGTCTTAGCTCTGGGACACTGGGGAACAGCAGGTTCACAGTCAGCCTTGCAAACAAAGGCATGTTAACATTTTAGCAGTTGGAATACCTGATAATTTACAGATAGGGTGATTTTTTGTGTTGTTTTAAAGGAAATGTCTTAATGACAAGTACCTACTCCTAATTTTTTGTTCTCAAATTTATCATTTAACCTATGTTTACCTCATAAATTTTCATTGACGTTAAATAGAAAATAAGTACAAATCTTTATGCATCTTCCCATGAGCCATTTTTTGTCCTAAATAAGCTATCCAGCAATATACTGTAGTTGGAAAAAAACACTACATGCACAATGCATACAAATCAAACACCAGGTCTGTAAAATAAGCTTTAAGTAAAAAAAACATGGTTAGTGCAAAGTCCTGAAATTCATGACATGATCACAGACTAAAGTACAGAAAAGATGGGTCTGATTCAGGCAGATTAATTTGCTTTTGCCAACAATCCTCCCCATTCAAAAACACACACAAAAAATTACTTGTCTTTTTCAAGTAAAAGTGCAAAAGCTACAAGAGACAATGAGAATGAATTTACAAATAAAACATGGGATTATGGAAAAAGAAAAGCATGACCGTAATTAAGGAAAAGCTACTGGTTCCTACTTACAAGATTTATAAGAAAGAAGAATTTGGATAAAAGATGCTGCAAGATAATAGAAATAAAATGGAAACAAATCAAAGGACAGCAGTAGTTATAAAATACTTTTAAGATGGTGAAATTGTAATATAAGTTAAGAAGCTTTTAGCTTTCTAAAAAGTAGATTAAAAGCTTTATGATACAGCAAGCTTGTTAAACACATAGGAAATTGGCATACAGGTCCAAAATTATGGTTTTGAAAGTACCATGCAAAACAATGAACAAAAAGTTACAAAATACGACTAAAATTTAGAGCTGTTCATATCAACATACACCAGTCCTTTAACAGAAGGTATTAACCCTTCTCAGCTCACAGACCTGCCCCCATGTGGCAATGCACATGGAGCACACACCAGGCTATCCTAAGGCTCCTCTGAAATGGGGTATGTCTCGCAGAGGGAAAACTACTTACCTGCAACCTCCTCACAGCAGCACTCCTCCTTCCAAACCGGGAGTTCTCAACAGTAGTACAGCTCCTATTTCTCTAAGCCAAGTTGCTAACAGCCAGAACATCTGAGCATACCTCCCCTGACCACCAGCTTCATTAACAATCTTCCAAAGCAGAAACAAAAGGTAGAACACTCCCAGAAACATTAACATCTCAAACAACACCCAGAGAAAGAAGAGAGTAACTCCAGCAGCCAGGCACCACCCACCATCTGCGGAGAGCTATTTTGAACAGGCAGGGTGAGACCTGTAACCAAGCCCCTCAGCAGCACTCACTATGACCCCGACAGGGCTGCTTAGACTTTTCTTCTAGAGCCCCAGAAACATTCTGTGGGACATTAATGACAGTAGCGCCAGAAGAGGTGAGGGCAATGATGTACCCAAGGCTCTACAACTGCAAACAGCCCCAGGGTGATAGCAGCAAGCCCTGAGGTGTGTCCTTCAGCTGCTATAAACTGCAGAGTTGACATTCTTCAGGTACAAGGATTGAGAATGAGCCTAAGAGATTGGGAGATTCAATTACTGAAATGCTGGCACAAAGTGCTGGTGAGCCTCTTCCCACTCTGAGAGGCTGAGGACAGTAGGTAGCAGTAGCATGCAACATACAGCCAAGCTTGTCTGAAACACATCCTGCCACTGAACCTGCCCTAGCAGATACACACCCCAAACTGTCATTCTTGGGTTAACCTCATAGAGGCTCTGAAGCCAATTTCTTATGAAAGTGTTATCTATCATAGGCATCTATTTATCCCACACTATCAGCTACATAAATGCCACACACCTATCTAATTCTAACAACTACATCGGCAGCACCCAGCTGCTTTCAGAACACCTACGCATCTTCCAACCGGCCATTTTTACTCTCTCACCACAACACAGTGATGTTTATCAGCTGCCCACCAAAAAGCTTCACCATTAAAGTCTGTGTGCAAAAACTAAAACCTGATAAGAACACTCAAGACCCAAAAGCATCACGCCAATGATGGTAAGATCATTGCTTTGCTTCACAATCCAAACAATGACATAGGACTACTTTGAAGGACACATCTCAAAGAGCAAAGAGGACAACTACTTTCCAGGTGATAACCTCCACCAGCAGCCAACTGTATACAGATTACTTCCAGCTAATTTTGAGAGAGAACAATTCTCTCTTCCCAAAGACAGACAAAACTAGAACAACCACAAATGTGGAATACCTAGAGTTTTCCAAACAAGAGTTCACGCATGAGATGACAGAAAATTGAAAATCCGTGAAGCAGCAGTTAACCTGACAGAATCAGGGGAGTTGAGGCTGAAGGAGCCTCTGGAGATAGTCAGCCCTCCCCTGCAAAGCAGGGCCAAGTAGGACAAGTTCAGTTACCCTTCTATACATTTAGATAGTTTTTCATCTCAAGACTTACAAAAAGCTTGACATTTTTCCCCCCATCATTTTTCATTACTTCCTTCCTGGAGGTTAAAGAGTTCCAGTGGGAAAAGGTGAGATCCTGGGACAAAGAAAAAAGGAAGGGTAGAGGGGTACTCATTCACATCAGCCTTGATCAAGTGCACTTCATTACCTAGAGCTCATCAAAAAGGTGTGCTGTAAGATGGAACAAGGACAATGTGTGTCAGCAGGATTTGTTTAAAGAACCAAACTAAATTCTGAACTAGAGCTTAAGACCACAGCTCATCCACAGGGCCCCTGGAAGGCACTGTACTGAGTTCATGAATCTCTCTTTGGTAATCACATCATAGGGATTCTCACAGAGATTGTGCCATGCAGTAGAAGAGAAGAGAGAAACACAAACTAAAAAAATGTAGCATTCCAAAAGTGTCCCAGGGCACACTCTACAAGACCAAGGAGCAAGTTGTAATACTTTTGCAAAATGGTTCTCAGTCCTCCAGCCAGTAATGAAACAAATTCTTAACTGCACAGCATTGAAACAAAGCAAATATTAGAAGGGTTTAAAGCTGATGAGTTCTTACACAGCTGCAGTTCCAGACCTAAAAAAAATAGTGTGTGTGGGCCAGTGGAAGACAATATTACACAGCAAAGCTTATTTTAAGTGCAGATAATTCCCAATCAAAACATTTAAAGCCCTCATGAAAAAAACAGTGCTTCTTGAGGCTAATGCTAAAATTATCAACAGCACTGTCAGACAAGGTAAAAATATTCCAGCTAGTAGTTGAAGTCATGGCCACAAAGGATAGCAGATGGACCAAGACATAAAGGAATAGCCAAACTGCAGCTGTAAAGCATCAGATTTATTCTGGACATCTTTCCTAAGGGTAGAGACTGTGGCAGCTAACCATCCCTTCTCTGCTGGCCCTCCTCCTCCATGATACATCTACATTGGGCAGCAGGAGCAGCTGGATGGGTACAATGTGCAGATCTGATTGTTACTGATGGGTCCCACTACTGCGATGGTGGGGCCCTAATACAAACCCCTCCTGGCCCACCTCGTCAGCCAGCATAGCACCTCCTGCCTTAAGCTCTTCAGGGAGGAAAAGATTTCACTTGGAGGCATCAGGCATCACAGGTCAGATTTCCAGAATAAAAGCTTTATGATGTGGATTTAAACCTAATTCAAAAGACACTGATGCTTCAAGTCAGCAGAAACTCCAGAGGCCTGGCCCTTTACACGTCTTGGTCATTTTCCCACCTTAAGCAGAGGCTGAGCAAAATAAATCAGGCAATCAGAGTTGGGGCCTCTCTGCAGTGTTTCAGAAGTAGGGATCCACACTCAGTTCTCTCTCCTTCAGCCAGCCCACCTTGGCACTACCCTGATCAGCGACCTTACATAGCAGTAACAACACCCTGCAAGGTCACTGATCAGGGTGTTTTACTTGATTAAATTCCTGTAAGTTAATTCTGTCTTCCAAATTGCTAAAAAAGCAGAAAACGACACAGCCAGGTTCCTATGAATCCACCAATATCACTGTGTCAGAACCACTGCTGCTTATACAGAGCAGATCATGTGATGTGCAAAGACTGGTCTCGCTACAGACAGCTTGGAAGAGCACAGAGGAGGAACAGAACTAACTCAATTCTGAACAGCTGTCTCCAGTTCTCAGAAAGCCAGTAAATATCCCTGTAAGACTGTAAGACAAAAATTTTCTGACTGCTATTAAGTGATTTAAGACATTGCATATATGAACAGAAGGCCTTGTAACCCCTACAAGGAAAATTAAGCCTTTGGATTCCAGATGACTGTGTACTTCTGCCAGCATAACGGCACCTCTGTTTACAGCTGACACTTCTGCATAAGCACCTCTAAGCTGACATCCTTCCTTTACAAGTTAAGAATTTAATTAAAATTGCTCAAAAAAGAGGTTATGTCAAAATTAAAATAATCTACTCAATCTGAAAAGCACTAAATGTAGTAATACATTAAATGCATCTGCAACCCAACACACCCTCAAAGGATGCCTTGCTCCCTCCTAAGCTCAGCTGTTTCCCTAGTCATGAGTCACAGGCCTTTCACAAAGAGGTTCTGAACTCCTACCACAGACACCCACAAAGAACGAGTTCAAAAGATTATCTGCCACATACCTATAAACACCTTTAGAAGATCCCAAATCCTAAGTTTTCACACAGGAATTTGACACAATAAACAAGGAAGATCACCAGTTTAACTGGTGCTGCCAAGTCCCACTATACATCCAGCTTGGTATAACAAATGTTTTTCCCCTATTTTTCTTAGGCCAGTGAGTTACTGACAGACTGATTAATAGATCTCTTTGAAAAGTTAGCAGACATGCAAAACACACAAGGAACAGGAAAACTGCAAGGAGTGAGAAAGATTATTATTTTCTGAATATTATCACCAAAAGTAAGATGAAAGCAAAAAAGCCTCTCTGAGCAGAGCACTAATTCTGTTATGACATCTCAAAACATCTAACCTCTGCAGCTGAGCAAAGCACAGGAGACAAAAGTTTGGCAGTTAAGGGTTGAAGATAACGAAGATATGAAGTCATTAAGGGAAACACACAGCAATCTGAACTGATAGGCAACAACTTCACTAGCTATTTTAAGGACTCCTGTTTCCATAACACTCTACAAAACCAAAAAGTACTGCTTTGTGCACTAGGTGGAGCAATGTAGGACAATTTTTCAAATATTAAAGAGTTGATATAAATAGTTGCTATTAATCATAGATACTCAAGCAGATTTCAAACTAAGAAGTGGACTCCTACCATATGATTTCCTCCATTTAATAGCATTTTCCCCAGTATCATAATTGGAAATGCCATGCTTGTTAGAGCAAAGGAGTATTTAATAGTAAAAAAGTGGACTTTTTTGAAACTTTGAAATCCCCAAACAGCTGCTCAGCTAATAGCAGATGCTGGCTCAGCTCAAGGAATTAATTACAACAGAGCACTTCAGGGTTTACTTTTTTTGGATTACGCCTGTGTTAATCTTGCAGGTAGGAAATGTCAAGAAAACAAGGAAAAAAGTGTACATATATTTTTTGTAATATTTACCTGTCATGCTGCTGTCTCTGTTTATTCCATTATGAAGTTTACAGTGAACAAATGCTGCATCAAATAACCATGATCCAAAGAGGTTCAAGATGCTGTTAACCTTTGGCCTGCGAGGAGCTGGAAGTGGCCGAGGCTCAGAGCTTGTCTGGTTTGGGCTAGAAAGTGGAGAAGTAGAAGAGGGTTGGTGCTGCACTTTTGAAGCATGTGCAGTAGTTACCTGTTTGAACAGAAGAACAGATCAGCTCCTAGAATCAAGGAAATTAGTTCCTCTAACTGAGGAAACAATCCAAAGGGTCAGCTACTCCAACACAGAGTATGAAATCTTACAGTGCTGGTTTTCATCGTCACTTTGTTCACAGTCACTGCCCGATGCCTCCGGTTGTGGGGTGGAGTGGTGTTGGTAGCAGTGTTCTGGGGCATGCTCAGCCTGTTCACCGGTGTGGGTGGTGCACTGTCTGACCGGGGTCGGGAGATGCCTGTAAGGCCAGGAATAAAGCAGGCTTTCAGCAAGAATTCCATGGGCTCACAGAGAGCAGGCCATTAGTAAGCATAGGAGCCTTTGGTCAATAGCCATGCCTGCCCCGTTCCCCAAAACGGCAGCAGCAACAAAAATGCCCCTCCCTATTTTACTATTAGCAGAAATAAATACATACGCAAATGAAAACAGAAATTACATCAGATAAACAATTGATTAAACACCAAAGGACCCCATACCTTAAGGCTGTGGGAAATGGCAGATGGGAAGAATCAGTCTAGAAGCAGGCAGAGGGAAAGGAGCAAGGTTCACTTGCCAAAGACAATTTCACAGCTCACTTCTGCCAAAATTCAGGTGCCTCTCACCTTTGCCTTTCCTTCCCAGTCACAACTCCCACACCTTTTTCTGAGACATCTCTAAGATGTCTGGCCCTTAGAGCCACCTTAGCTCACTAAATTAAGATGAAACCCAAACCCATCCACCACACAGCTTTCTGCTTGGTTTGAGCTGAATCAGCTGCTGAACAGTCAAATACTAAGGGAGTACACAAGACAGAGTAACAAAGCAGAGCAAGCTGTAATTTTTCTGGCAGCAGCAGGACATTAGACCAGTTTTTAATCCAGCTTCAGGGAAATTCATGGTGTACAGAGCTTTCCCATCAGAATCAGAAGCAACTCAATGTCTGAAAAACTTGATGTGACAAATACAATTTTTTGCCCATTTTAATTAATTCCAACAACCTTGTGCCCCATGTGAAAAATGAAGTGGGGAACCACAGTGTGCTTAAGATGTTGATACAGATTTTTTTTTGACCAAGTTAATTAAAGCACCCAAGTACTTTTCATAACGCATTACAGAACAATTTGCACCTGGTAAATCATCAGTGTTACAGCCTAGGCAGAGTATGCACTATGAAACCTATTGTTTTGGTACATTTGGCTGGAAAAGAGGATGTACTATTTTGCCAAACACATCATGTAGGTACCAGGGAGAGCAAGATAAAACCCAATGTTTTAGTACTCATGACAGAAGGTAATGAGCTCTCCCACCAGCCTTCACTGAAGATCTTTCTGCAGCTCCCAATTCTTCCTGAACACACTCTCCCAATCTATACCTACAGCCTGAATTTAATTTTTCACTAAGAAATCTCCTGTGCTCCAATGCACTGTAATCTCCATCTCGGCACTCCAGATAGGTCATTATCACTCTGCGTGCTTTATCTTGTGACAAGATCTTCCGAAGTCTTAAGTGTCTGATTCATAAAACCACAGAATAGTTTGGGTTCAAAGGGATCTTGAAAACCCTCCATTCCATCCCCAGCCACAAGCAGGGACACCTCCCACTAAACCATGTTCTTCCAAGTCCAGTCCAACCCGACCTTGGACACTTCCAGGGATCCAGGGACAGCCACAGCTCCTCTGGGCAATGTGTGCCAGGGCCTCATGAACCTTCACAGGGAAGAATTTCTTCCCAATATCCAGTGTAACCCTGCGCTCTGTGCCACTACAGCCTGCTCTTCTCCAGGCTGATGGTCTCATTCCACCGGCAGGCTTTTTTCTAATACTATTTACATATCTGCTCTAGTCTCCTGCAATCTCTCATCAGCTCACACTTATGGCAGATGACATTTGCATCCACATATTTAACCAGAAAAGCAGCTGGAGGCAGGCAGCTCTTCTGAGTTTACAATACCATGTATTCCCCGAAGAACTTTCAGTAAGTCTGAAGCACACTAAATATAATGCTTTAAATTTCAGGTACTCCATCCTGTCACTTAAAACCAGCCAGCTAGATTTACTCAGCTACCAGCAAACACACAACAAAGAAACACAACTTTTCTACTCAGCAGTGGCAGTAATCCACTAACCATAAACGAAGGGGAACTTCGCAAAGATCTGAATATGACAGTCCAAATTCAACACCTCATAAAACAGGCACACAGCAGTTGCCACAAAGATTAGAAACATGGTGGTGAGTGCTCACAATGTGCTAAAGCATAGCACTTGCATTGGTGATTAGATGGATAGAGAAAAGAAGCCTTGTTTGGGAAAGAGGTCCCTGGTTTTGTTTTGTGTTACACTTCTGATTTGTTTTGCATCTGAAACTAAGGCCATCTACAACTTCATGCATTCAAATGTTACTGCTGTGTGTACAGATTTTTTTTAGAAGTGATCTCAAGTCTCCTCCTCATCAATTCCAGGATTTCCTTCAAAAGATGAGTTGTTATTCATGTATTTATGGAGAAAATAGATTTAAAGATACTAAAATAATGATTAAATTAATATTCCTAGCTATCCATGGGCAAGACAAAAGCATTACCTAGAAATGCATCCACTAAACAGCTGATTCCACGCATGGCACGAAAGAATATTTGAGGCAGATGTTTAAGGCAGGGGTACTGATTCAGTTCTTGAGTCATCCCACTCACATTCAGAAACTGCTCCTGAAATTTGGGGGTAGAGCTAATAATGGCTGGGTTACTCAAATCCACAGGATTACTGCACAGAAAAAGAGCAAAATATATGTTAGTCGGTTTAAGAACAGCAGTTAAGATTTAAAAACACTTGAAGATGCAATAGTTTAAGGCATTCAAATAACACCACAAACCAGCATCTAATACATTTTGGCCTTCCATCACAGGAAGGCAATTTTCTCTTCCTGGGTTGGCAGTATATAGTGGTCTTTATTTCAAACATTACCCAAGCACATTGAACAATCATAGTAAAATAAAACAAGCCAGACCACACACTTGCTAGACTAATTATTGCAGCAATAATAATTACTTATGAGGTCTTTTGAACCCAATGAAGAGTTGCTTATACTGTTAAAGTTATTCTAGAAAGGTAAGCAACAAATTAAATACTGTCAAACAGTGACAAGAAGGGGAGTAAATTGTAAAAGTTTGAGCAATTTTTCCTGATTGACTCAAATCCTAAACAGCAAATTTGTAAACTCCAAATTTGAAGAGTACAGTATTTGTGACACTAGTACTACAACTGAAGAAAGAGGGTTTTTTAGTTAGTTAAGAAGGAAATTTTAAACAGCCTAATGTTTATCTAGCTTTAACTATTAAACAGTATTTTGTATCAATATTTTAATATACTGGCCATTGAGAGCATTAATGTAATGCCATGTCTGAACATCTTTAAAACAAAACACAGCATTTGGTTCAGCTGTGCATTTAAGAAAGTTGAACATGTATGGTAAAATTAAGTGTATAGATTTCTTCATAAAAATAAATATACAAACACCCATTTAAAAAATAAATAGTAAGTTAAATTTAACCTGGAGAATAAATGAAAGTCATAAGCATCTCCCAGATCTATTGTTCAGCTTTTCCTGTTTGTTATCTCAGAGAAACAAAATTCTATTGAACACTTGTTTTTCAAGTCCTCCAAAAGCCAAATAGCTAAAATAGATTTTAATTAGCTGAACCAGTTTACATTTTGAAAGAGTCAGAATTCGAAGCTGAACACTACTCACAGCTTGCCCTGTGTGCTGCTGCATGGCACTGGCACAAATCTCTCATTTAATTTTATTTAGGTGCTCAATCTTGGCAATCTCCAGAGAAATGTTTCATTTGTCATGCAAATGTATAGAGCTGATTCAAGAAAAGGAACAATGGCTGTAATTACAATACCTCAGCATATGTAAAAAGCGAAACCATGTTTGTGCAACGCACTCATTATCCATTTCAAGAGGAATCAGACCAGCATCCTCATCGGGAATTTTGAATGGAGGAAATGAAGGTCCATATGTAAAACGCAGCAACCTAGAAAGCAAGTCAGACAGACCTGATCTTCAGATCAAAAATTTAACACTGTGTTTGCTCCCCAAAGGTATCAGCAGCCCACAGGTGAGTCCACAGGCAACAGTGGAACATCCCAAGTTTTCCTAGAGATCCCATTTCATACAATCTCTCAGCCTTGGATGGTGCACACCTGGAGCCTGCCTAAAGCTCCAGCCAAACCCAAAAGCTATTAAGGCACAAGAACCCTCAGTAGCACTCCTGTCACTTAGCCAGAGAGGTCAGTTATCACCAGTTATCACAGCCACATGGACATCTGACAGGACATTACATGTGAAGGAAGAAGGAATTTTTTTTTTTAAGATGGAATTCAAGCCCTTATCCTCACAGCTCTTTAGCTCAAGCTTTCAATGACACTAGCAAGCCGTATTAGGTTGCAGCTCTAAATTCCAGCTCAGGACTGATGACCTACACTGTACCTCAGGACCCTGAGCAGCACTCACTGTTGACCTACAAGCAGCACAGGACTTGCAAGCCACCGTTTAGTGAGTTCTTCAAAACAGATGCAACACATGTGCTAGAGGCTGGGATCTACAGACCAGCAAAGAGCAAAGCAGTGATCCCAGTGCCATAAGGACAATGCTTAGGCAAATGGGGATCTTTCCCTAAAGTGCTGTAACTCCCTGAAGAATCACCAGTGAACTTCACTGAGCTCCTGCTGTCTAATCTGACCCCTGCTTCATACCCAGCTTCACCAAATTACAGTTCAATTTCCCTGGTCAACATAATCTTTGTTATGAGTAGAAAAGTTGTCAATTTTTTTTAAATTGCAGAGTTAACAAGTTAAACCAATTGCTGCTGTTAACAACTTCATGTTGTAGTTACCTGTTGTTAATAGTTTTCTTCGATTACCTGTTAATGGGTAGAAATCAGCTCAAGTGTCCCTGCAGCTTCCTGGAGGATGACACCTGAGACTTGGGGGGGGGNNGGGGGGGGGCGGGGAAGGTGATGTCAGAGCTGGTTTGCCGATGAGGAAGCCCCTCACCAAAGCTTGCAAGAAAAACCCCTAAACCAACGTACCACCATGGAATTAAGAAATCTAAGTGATGTCTGAAGGTGAGGAATTTAATCCAGTGTCTGCTAAAATCCCTTTTACCTCTCACCCTAACCTAAAAGGATGCCGGCTAGAAAGAGGACCTCTAATGCCACACTAAAAAGGCGGAATCTCCTACTGCTCTCGTGAGGATGGAAGCCCCAGCTCTGCCTGCACACCCGCAGACAGAGCTGCACTCATTCTCCTCCTCCGTGCCACTCCTGGGAGCAGCGGCAGCGTGGGCGTGACCCATCGGTTCTCCCCACTCCAGCTGATTTTTAATAAAGGCATTAAAAAAGGAGAAAGATCTCCTGCCCTATTTATTTCTATCTTGATGTTTTCTAAAGGAATAGATCTGCACTGCACCTTCTAAATATCACAGCATTCCCAGAAATCAGTTTGTCTTTCCCTAAGCTAACTTCTGTGATAAACGTATTAAATTCGTGCTCATATAAATATGATAAATATGTTCGTAATTATAGAAATATATATCAAATCATGCTTTTAGAATGTATGTTACAGAAAGCACATAAGTTTTAGAAATCTTACACAGGGGTTGGGAAATCTATTACTTCACCAGATTGTAACACAGACAGGTATTCAGTGAATAGAAGTCCAAATTAGAAAGTAAAGGGATTAGCTCCTGCAGGAACCCTGAGCCGGCCAATAACTCCCATGGACTTCACATGCATCTGTTCCCGGACACAGTATTGTTTTTCCCAAGGCAGCTCTGTCCCAGTAGGAGACAGAACTCCTCCCACACCAGAAGGAGGACAGAGGAATGCATGAATATTCGAACCCTTCCCAAGACATAGTACACTGGACAAGGGATGAGGACTGCATGAATATTCGGGAAAAGAGAAAGAAACAAAGGAAACATCGCTCTGGGCAAGAAAAACAGTATATAACAACGGCTCACCAGACAGACATCAGGAACTCGGTAGGTCTGATGTGAAAGGGGGTCAGATCTGTGCTCACCCAGTGTCAAGTCCCCAGCTCGGCGCTGTCCCTTTGATTGTATCTGGCAAAGATTGTATTTCGATTTGCGAAATAAAATCTATCTTCTTTGAATTTTAATCTGGCTTTCTCAAATTATTGATTTGGCCTCATCTGGTTGTTGCCTATAACTATTCCTTGCAATGGTCAGGAAACATCCCACTTATCCTTACTCACTTATAAAGCCATACAGTGTTCTAAACTCATTACAATTAGGAGAAGAGAAGGAGAAAAGTAGTCTATGGCTGACTCCTCAACCAAGAGTCAAACAGGCTGAATTTCCATCTGCCACTTCTCCCAGCAGTGGGTACTACAGTGCAGCCAATTAACACAAGTGTCTGAAATCACAGCCAATTTACAGTACCTAACCTGGAAGAAAAGCAAAAGAGCTTTAGGACATCAGGCCTTCTCCAGATGCAAGGTGTCGGTTTGACCAGGTAGTGAGTTTCTAGGAAAGTTGTGGTCAAACCAATCAGTAGCCAGATTTAAAAATTGGCACCTGGTGTAGCCACTGGGGACCTGGATATGCCTCTGAGAACACAGGGGAGTTAAAAACAAAAGATTCCCAGAGAGACTCTCTCTTTTTGAGTCCAGCCGGTGAGGTGATCTGACCGAAGCCATGCGGCCTGTGGAAAAAGAGGCCGAAACCCCTACAAAGTGCAAGAGTAGAAAAGATCTGAGATGTTTCGGGCAGCCCCCCGCTCTGAAAAAGTGATAGAAAGTCTGTGCTAGGGGCTGCTGCTGCAAAGGGGCTTCAGTCCCAGCAGGTCAAGTCACTGCCGGTGCCAGAGAATGGTCAGACTAGAAAGTTTCCTTAAAACCAGAAATACACACATCTATATGAGGCAGCAAATGCCCTCCAGCCCTGTGTCCACCTACATTTAGTGCCCAGAGGCATGACCCCATGGTTTGTTTTTGCTGAGGAATTACCTGGCTCTAAAAGACCCAAAAAGAGCCTGGCCCAACCCCATGCACTGTCCATGCCCCACACCACTGCCCGGCAACACAGTGCACTGGTTCATTTCTCCCTATGACTGCAAGAAACCAGTTTTTCAAAGAGCATGATCAAATCTTTAATTACATATGGGACATTTTCAAGAATGACTGAAGACAGAAATAAATTTTAAGCCACACATCCAAGACAGTTAAAATACATTTAAAGCAATCTAGATGGGGTAAAAGTAGTATCTATTGGTATGGCAATACAATTAAATTCCAGTTTCATCCTGCTAAAAATCATAGCCACAGACATAAATGAACACTGCATATGTGTACAGATTTCCAAATATAATTTTCCATATGGTTTTGATTTGAAACATTTACTCTCAGCTTATTGATAATAACCTGATTCACAAAATTGTTTACTAAAACATTTTAACTGCTTGAAGTTGGAGCTTCATTGAAGTATTAAGAATGCAGTTAAAATACCACTGAACTTAAAGCCAGCCTCAGAGGAGCCTAACCTTCCATGTATCAGGCATGAACAACATTACTGAATACAGACTAAAACATTCCAGAAACCCTGCATGCTCCTGTGCAGCAACAGAACCAAGACTGTTAGTCAACAGTGGGAGAGGAAGTGTAGGCACAGTGTGTGGTGCAGAACACCAACACATGTTTTGAGACAGAGCTGTTCTTTTCAGATCAGTGAATCATAAAGTATTTTCTGTTATGTAACGCTACATCTAACAAGCTAAAAATAGCTGAAGAAATAGTGTGGGAAATACATAGAACTCGTATTGCAGCTTTATTTCCCAGGGGTTTAACAAATAGCTGCATAACCTGGAAAAATCTATCTACACTTCACATTTTGACAGGTAATTCAAAGCAAAAGTTTTCAAAGTTATAATAAACCCTTGCAGAAAAATACACTATTGAATATTTCACAATGCAGCAATTTTAACACATCTTTGAACTTTCACAGTAATAAATTACTGATATTTCAGGAGAGCTGGAAAGAGACCCAGATGACTCTCTTTCAAGCAATTAATTCCGTTCTTTCCTCCAAGAGTCTGAGATTTGTCCCACAAAGACTTCAGACCAAAAATACCTCAGCTTTAAGGGTACTGAAACTCTCCTCACTGTTCAGTAGGTTCTATTATGGCCAAAACTCTCCCGCAACTCCCAGATGTGAAAATTCCTTAGGTCAGTTTGCAGGTGACATTGAGGTGGGCAGGAGCTGACTTACTGAAGGACAGGAAGGATCTCTAGAGGCATTTGGGCAGGCTGGATCAAGGGGCCGAAGCCACTCCATGAGGTTCAATAAGAGACAGTGATGGGCCCTTGGGTCACAACAACCCCAGAGCCACAGGATTAGGGCAGAGTGGCTGCAAAGTGCTCAGCAGGAAAGTGCACATGCGGGGGGCTGCTCAAAAGCAGCTGAAGTAGAGCCTGGTGTGCCCAGGTGGGCAAGAGGCCAATGACACCTGGCCTCTACCAGCCATGGTGTGGCAGCAGGACCAGGGCAGTGACTGTCCCCTGTGCTGGGCACTGCTGAGGCACCTCCAACCCTGGGGACAGTTTCGGGCCCCTCATGGCAAGAAAAACATTGAGGGGCTGGAGTGTATCCAGAGAAGGGAACAGGGCTGGGAAAGGGGCTGGAGCCCCAGGAGCAGCTGAGAGAGCTGCGAGGGCTCAGCCTGGAGAAAAGGAGACTCAGAGGAGACCTTCTCATTCTCTACATGAAGGGAGACTGGAGCCACCAGAGGGTTGGCCTCTTCTCCCAGGTAACAAGAGATAGGACATGGGGAAACGGCCTCAAGTTGTGCCAGGGGACATTCAGATTGGTTGGAATAGGTTGTCATACACTAGCACAGGTTATTCGGGGCAGTGGTGGAGTCACCAAAGGGTATTGTGGATGTGGCAATTGGGAACACGGGCTAGTGGTGGGCTTAGAAGTCCTGGGGGCATGCTTGGATTTGATGATCTTAGAGGTCTTTTCCAACTTAAACAATTCTACCATATACAATTCTCACTGTTCCCATACCTAGCAAGACTCAGTACAGCTCTTCTCCTCTACTCTCTAGAGCAGAGAGCCTGTGGTCTGCCTCTGGCCCATCACATCCCCAGGGAACAAGTGCCAGGCAGCTGTAACACAGTTTCAGCTCCTCAGGGTCCAAGCAAAGTTCAAGAGTCACCTCAAACCCAGCAGCATGAGCACTAAAAGGCACCTAATAATTTTGATGGTGACACACACATAATGCTATACTGATATTCTTCATTATCTTCCCTGAGGAACGACTCAAGAGTCACAAATCATAGAGACTAATACATACACACGCTGCAAAGTGCCAAATATCACAGATGTGCTATGCTTCCACAAAAACAGAGAATCCAACTCAGATCTCCCTTTGCAGAACACAGAACAAACACACAATCCAAGGAAACAGCAAGATCTCTCACCTTGTATTGCTTATTCACTTTTGGATTGCTGCACATTCCACAAATAAGCAATTCCAAAACACGTATAACCATGATTATCCCCATACATGCATTTATTTCCATGGGATTTCTCCTACCTGGAAGTAAGGGCACAAATGACCTTGCTCCACTGCTCAACTACTGCAGGATGATGTCGCCAGTTAGCCACCATCTCTTTGGCAGTTTTCCAGTAAGGAGGTGTTGGAAAGCACCGCGTACAAGCAAGTAACCATACCTCAAACAGCACGCCAATTAATTTTTCAGCCAGATTCTCAGCAATGCCACCTTATAACAGAAACCAAGCACACCTTCAGTTAGTGTTCCATCTAAATAACTTCAAATATCTTCCCAAAGAGGTTTTGGTTAAAGTGAATAATGATTAAGCCCTTTTTTTTCCCCCATAACTACTAAGAATGATCTTTGATTGCTTCCTACAGCCGATTAGCCTTTTTGTAAGACCAAGTACAACAGATAAGGCCCAGCCCATGTGCGTAATAAGGGACAGCAGGAATCCACCAATCTTAGGCAGTCTTCCATTGCACTGTGTCTATACTGAAGTCTTTTTTAAATAGACAAAACTAACACTATTTTTTTGCACTAGGCAGGCTGAACAGCAAAACAAAGGGGTTTCAGTGAAACAAACAGGAGCAACAGTGTCTGAAACTGTTCATACCAAACTGTTCCTGTATAAAGTCACTGTCTTGCAAAAATACTTTCAGGAAACCTCAGCTCCAAGTCATTCAGTCTTTTCATTTTGGAGTAATGGGGCGGAATTAGGAGTGAGCTATTGTGCTTTGGTAGCTCTTAAGAGCTTTTCATGGGTTCCCCCATCCTGCTGGCAGCTGAATGTTAAGAAGAGCCAGAAGTTTTTTAATAATTGAACCAAATGGAAGATGAACATGAACCTTGCACAGTTGGAGCTGCTAGAAGAGTGTCATTGATCTGAAGAAGAAATAATAACAAAACCTCCCAGGTTTCTCTTGCCATAATTGTTGACTCATGCGCCAGCTTCTGGACAGCTTTCAAAACCTGCAAGCACAGTCTGATCTGACTGGATCCCGGGTCTGGCCTGCAAGAGAAGAAAACAATGCTTGAGAAATAGAACTATTAAGTGATGTATTTAGTAACATGCACTTTCAGCATGTTCAACTTACAAAAGGAAATAAGTATTATTGAGACCTAAGAACATGAGCCAATATGTTTCTGTGCACCTCAACTCTGTCTCTAGGCATCCTAACTCTGACTTAATGAGCACAAGATGCACCATAGCCCTCTTCTCCATGTGAGACTCAATACACAGAGCAAGCACAATCCATCACCTAAGATTTATCTTGGGCCAAACAATAACAATCCAGTTGAGACATCATCAATTGCTGCATACTAATTCACAAGTGGCAAAACTTGGAGAATATATTATTCGCAAAATAATTTAAATTCTTCCTAGTTCTCCTCTTGTTTCCACATCAACTCTTATCACTTCTTCCTTTGGTCTAATGTTCCTATTTAATGACCCCCTTCCAGATTCCTCTGTAAGCAGTTAGAAGTAAGGAAGGAAGAAAGGACACTGTTTCATATTTCCTAAGTTTTTCCTGTAGTAATAGTCAGATCCACACTGGCACTACTGAGTCACTCAAACAAAGTTGCTCAGAAGCAGCAAAAAACAGCATCACCTCCTCCCACCAGTTAGTCTGGACAAGGCAGAACAGGTACAAACCAGTAATGTGACATATTCTGGACAGTATCTGATGACACTGGTAAAAAAAAACTGAGGAAGCTCAAATTTTAAAGGGTGAAAGAGGAGATTACAAATTAGAGTGTACAGTAAGTAAGGCATATTTCAACCTACGCATCATTTCATTATCCCTCCTACCACCACTGAAGAGATGACCAAAAAAATCATAAAAATATTACCTTCCACTGGACTACTAAGTAGTATTACCAGATTCCTACCAAACATTTTCAATGTGATATAACCCACAAGTCATGTTGCATAGCAAGCAGCTCAAGAATGGGCTGGTCCACTAAATACCATCAGCTTTTAACTCAATAGCATAAATGTTGTACTACAGCACTGAAAAAAAAGATTACAAAGAGAAAAGATAATGCCTTATGCAAAATTGCACACTACTAGCCACAGTTGAGGACCTCAGTGGGCTGCTTGATGCTAGTGCTAGATCATAACCTAGAGTCTCTTATTTTGAATAAGTATTCTACAATACTCTGTTATTGTAGAATAACAAACTTTGGGATAAGTGAGCCCTGCTTTGCTTACAGCACTATTTTTTGCCTGAGCAACAACAGAGCAGATTGTTTCTGTCAAAAGGTATCCTTAATCGATATAGGCTTGAAGCTTCCAAGGGTGCTTCAAGACTTGTCTCCCTAATAATTTAGGGAAACCATAAAAAAAACAGGGCTTATATGCAAGCTAACAGGATACTTCTGCACTAATCTTGTAAAGGCAACTCAAACATTCCTGTCCATCTAGGACTTTCTCTTGTCTACAAAGTGACCCAGTGGCAAGCACTGCTGGCACTATTTCTAGACTTCTAGATGTCTACAGACTGTGGCCTTTTGGCCATACTCCTTCAGAAGTACTGTTCCCATTATTTCATATGAGACTCATATGAAGCTATTACCAAAAAAAGTACTTTGGCAGTCACATGTTCCATGGTCTCTCAAGCAATTCCAGACATTTCCGTTGCAGAGGACCTGGATATCTGTACCTCATTCTCCTGGAGAGGCAATACAGCAGAAGAGAGTTCTCATATTTCTTTCCAACAGTGTTTGTGGCACTGAAACTTTACCTGACAGCAGTAACAACCACTACTGCTTAAGTCATCTTCAAGACCTCTTGGATATTCTGGGGTTGCCAGGAATTGAAAGCCTGGCGGGTTGCCTGGTGACTATTCAAATATGTCAACAGTGTTGGATTCTTCAGGGTGGACAGAAGGCTAGTGCGGGAGGGAAGGAGGCAAACACCCTCTCCCCCATCACTGCAGTAGATAGAGGAAAGCTAACTTGGCTCACTCAGCCTTCAGGGTTTTCTTTCTCAGCACCACACTACTTCAAGGACCATGCCTGTAAACATTTGATTCAGCTGAGCATTCAGACTAGAATAATCTATATGCACCTGCTCTGTATGGGTGTACACAAGCTCCTGAGATGCCATTTACACTGAACTGCCCACTTCAGGCTGCTGTGTTTCGCACCTCACCTATATGTCACCATCTGAGTCTGATGCCTTGACAACTCTGGCCACCACTTTAAAGGCAGCCAAACCAACAGCTACATTGCTTCCAGAGAACCAGGATGAGGAAGGAAGCTATTTTAATCACAACCTTCCATAGGGCATAAGCTTATAATAAAGATTTAATATCTTCAACACAAGAACAGATTTTTCCAGGAGACAGTTCAACACAGGTTGCTGTAACACCTCCTGGGTAAGTATTCTACATGAGTCCATCATCATCAGCAACCTGCACCAATTGGGTAAACCCAGAAATCATTCTCCTCTTTCCCACCACAGACATCTAAGCCTGAATCTTTGCTTTTATTCAAGGCAGGTGTGCACAACTCAGTTCTGTATTCCATTTGCAGTATAGAAATCTCTCATGTTGCTGGAGTGAATTCTGAACATAGCACCCCGGAGGACAAAACTTAAAAAGAGAGAAGGGACTTGATATTCAAGTGTTGACAGCAGCAGCCATGAAAAATCAGCACTTAAGATACATCTCAGAGGCTCTTGAAAGAAAAACTTACAGAAAAGCTGTACTACAGTATAGCTAATGATTTTTCAGCCTTCCCTGTCTCTAGGTGTTAATTATTTCATTCAACAACTATCACACATAGTCTACCAGCCTACATCAAGGTCCAACAATGATTCTGGGAGAGAAGGGTGAAGTCAAAGCTTGTGCCAACAGCATGAAAGAAACTGTACTGCTGAGCTAGCTGCTACTAGGGCCCTCAGCATGAGAGCAATCAAGGGATCACAGAAACAACTATTTAATGGACTAGTGAAGAATTTCTTCTCTGCTGTGCCAAGAGAATAAAGGATCCCAGACAGCAGACTGTATTCTGCACTTATTAAAGTTTAGAGACAACTTCCTGCCACAGTCTAATCCAGAAGCTTGCTTTCCTCAGACTTGTGTCATTGCCTTGACCATCCTTTAATGGGAATTAAAATGCAATTTCACTACAAGTTAAGAGCAACGGAAGCCAAGAGTAGGTGGTAGACTTCAAAAAAGTTTTTCAGAGAAAACTCCTCTGAATTTGCACAAGTTATTATTCAAAGTCCTTTATAAACAAAGCCTTTTCTAAAGTGACCCAAGTGCAGCTGAGCACTTTGAAGGCCACCTGCAGTGACACATATTTAATATTGATAAAAGCAGATGATCTGATATTTACAGACATATACTAACATTGATCTGAAGTTAAGTACCTTTTCAGGGGACGCTATTCAATCTTACTTATCCAGTACGTATGTCTAACAGTAGCAGGTAAACATACCATAAACTATAAATAAGGTAATGATGTTTGTGCACTCTGAAAACGTAGCTGTGTACAAGACCCAGAAACATGTCTATCTCAACACCATCACCCAAGGATGTCAGGCAGCAGGAACTCCACCACCAGCTTCTTTCAAAACTACCAGAGAACAACAGTCAGCATAACCATGCACATTTAACAGGCAGCAAGATGCAGGCACAGAGCAGTCACGGCAAGATCCTTCAGTACATCACAAACATAGTGAAATCTTGACTAACAAGGGCTGGGCATGATGTTCTCTTAGTTCATCTCAGTTTTACACAATGAAAAGCACATTGGTCACACAGTGATGCACTTCTGCTTTTCCCCTTACCCTCCAGTCATCCAAGAGAGATAAGTCTTGAACCTCCTGGGACAGTACACATTCAAGTATATGAGCTACGTGTGATTCTAATTACCTAACCACAGCAGCAAAACCTCAATTTGCTACTGCAAAATTACAAAAAACATTTGAAGAAACACCTTCCTCCTAAGCATGCAGCAGTAGCAGTCTTATTTTACTCAAGAGCCTCCACACCTCATGAGTCCTCTGACAGGTTACCTGCTGAAAATAGCTTGGAATCCCTAACACTCACCTTGGTACAAAGAGATTTTGGAGATGTTTGAGAATGCTTTGAACATAAAGGTTTGGTTCCTTAATAACAGGTAAAGGAATAGAGTCCTTAGGTAACACAAGAGCCATAATCCAATCTGTGTACACATCCACACAGTATTTCACAGTATCGCCGTCCAAAGGGAGGGTCAGTCCATAACAAACCACCTCCATAGTCCATTTTACCTAACAAACACAAAGCAAAAGTTATTAAAAATAAATATTGGTAAGTAAGTACTGGTAAGACCACATTAGTTCTAACTGAAAAAAAAAATAAAGCAACAGTAGTTATGTTGTATGGGCAATTCTGTTTAACATATCCTGTAAGAAAACACCAAGCCATTAACTCATGTATCATGATATTATGAAGAATATGAATAAATGGCAAATCACTCTCTAAATCCTGAATCTCCTAAATCTCAACTGTAGAGAGAACTCTTCAGAACACACAAAAGCTGCTAGTGAAACATTTTCAAATTCTAACAAATACTTGTTCTATACAAAGACTTTTTTTTGAAGTCACATACTGTTGCTTCAAAACTGAAGACAAGTCCATGGGTTTGTTTTGAGTTTTTTGTTGGTTTTCTTTAGCCTGAATTTCCTGGTATAGTAGCTCAGGCAAACATTTACTATTAAGTCATGAAGTACACTGTTGCTATGATCTAGTTGCTAATAAAAACCCTATGGAGATCACTAAACTAAAAATGTAACACACTTCATAAAATTTGGGACAATAAAGAGAGAAAAATAAAAGAGGCCATAGAAAACTATTAAACTGTCACTCCGACATGAAAGAAACTATCATCGCCAAGGAAAGGCACTTACTTCTTTGTCTGTTTTTAGTAAACTCTCACTTCCAACAGATGATGTAATTAAAGCCTGTCCAAGAGGACGCACCACTGCATTTGCCACTTCTCTCCCCACATTCTCAGGATAGCTGTGAAGTACACTGGTATTCCCCTGATCATTTTGAATGACAAGATGCAAGGATCTCCACTCTGAGTACATAGTGCCTCTATGCTACAATCCAAACAACACCTGAGGGGCAAGGAAGAAAAGAGACAATTAGTTTACAGGTCTATGACATGAGTTAGCAAAACTGAGGCTGTGTATCACAATCCAGACCCTTGTAAATTCAAGATGCACATATACATTTCATACATTTGACAATCCAGAAGAGATTCCAACAGTTGTTCTTCAACCTTAGTATGTTTTTTTACAAAGACAAGCTTTAACACAGGTTGATTACAGAGATTACAGCAAGTTTCAGTTCAGGACTATATGCCCATTTTAGATACTTAAACCTGATAAGTGACTTCACCTCACACTTCTGCTTGCACTATCTTGGCAGGAAAGATGCTCCCATTTACACATTTTTAGGTAAGCAGAAAACAGTTCTACAAGTATTCTGCTCATGAAGCAATGGCTGCAATTCACCCCGTTCCCTTTTTTACCTCAACAGCAGTTAAAAGGAGACACCAGGAAACTTCCAGGAAAACCTGAGTTATCTGAGAAGAAAAAATTCATCCTCTTTTATATTCATAAGGTATTTCTACAGCAGGCACTACTCAAAATTGGTAGCTGTAAAATGCAATTCAATGATAATGAAGAGTGCCCTTTATTTGCAGGGCAGGGAGCCAGGCCAGAACCCCCTGCCCTGGGAACAGGCAGGGTGAGGCAGCACCAGACATGGGACTGCTCTGGGCAGCTCAGAGACACCCACCACGCACAGCCAATTTTGATCCACACAAGAAACACATGCAGAGATCTGATCTAACTGAGATGAGAAACATCTGTGCCAACACAACAGAGCAGTGAGGACCCAAGGCCAGAGGGGTGGCAGGAACATCCTTCAGACACCAGAGTGCTTTGTACAGGCTCACAACAACATTAAACTGCTCTCAAGCAGGTGGTACCACAGCAGCCTGAGCCACCAGAACTGTGACTGCGCCATCTCCTTTTCCTGCTCTCCCAGCAGAATCAACAGCCTTTTATCCATTATCTGAGCCAGGTGACCACACGAACAAGGAAAACAGGGCTGGCACAGGAGAAAAGCAAGGAGTTTTCAAGAGACACAGCTCAGAGAAGCTCAAGCTGTCATGCATGGCACTCCAAGATCCGTTCGCCAACTACACTTACCTGGTACAATTTGAAAGCCAGTTAGTTATACAGGGAATATTTTGAACACTTCCCTTAGACATTCATTGGCCCAAAACCAAACAAGAAGCCAGGACCGGAAATACACATTCCCAGTGAAAAGCCTATTTAAACAATCTGCCTATTTAGCTGACTCCCCAAATGTTTATACCCAAAACCTCTGCAAAAAACCTGATGATTCCCTTCAAGGGAGACAGAAAAGCGAGGCAGCAAGATCTTGTCTTTCAAACTACATCCTTTGTGGTTTGAAACAGCAACCACATGTGCTTATCTGATAGTGAGTTAACCAGAGCAGCAGCGGCCTGCAGGATGTACAATTCCTACATCCTTCTGGAACCTTCCCTCCTCTTGGGACTGAGGCAGGGAGAATGCTCACGTCACTGTGGACAAAACTCTTGGGCTTAGAGAAAAAATGACAATTCCAAGACACAGAAAAGTCATGCACACACACAAACACCCCCAAAATCAAACCAAACCAAAAACCCAAACAAAAAAACCTTCAAATACAAAACACCAAACAAAACCTACAAAATCCCAATCCTCAGCGATAGCTTTGATCACTGCTTAGCTCCACTATCTAGGTTTCCATACTGGTATCTTTTCCTTCCATATCCTATAGCCATAGACATGCTTCATCTTCCCCCTTCCCTCCTACCTGACCACCATCTTAGTCTCCAGTGTGTGTTTGGAGTCAAAGCAGAAGGGACAGAAGTGAGATATAATCCACTTTCCAAGTCTTCCCCCTCCTTTCTCATTCCCACAGCACTTTGCCTCTATCCCCAGAGCAGTCCCTACCCCCTATCCTACAAGGGAAGAAGGGAAGCACTCTCCATTCCTCTCCTGCAACACAAATTCATTAGAAGCATGTAACCCTGTAACAGCATTTGAGGAACACTGGTTTAAATAAGCTGATTTGAACTGATAAAACAGCATGTCTTTTCCATGCCTGCCCTCCAGCTGGCAGTAAACGGCTCATGGCAGGAGCTTATCAATGCGTGATAAGCACAGCACACTCACTGTGGCTGCCCTCACCCCAGAGCAGGGTGCCCAGGTGTGTGGAAGTGCTGTACCATACAAGCAAATGGCAGGCAATGCCTATGTGAGAGCCCTCTCATCTAGAAGAATCCTGCTGCATTTAGAAAACCTTAATTGCACTAAGGCAAGGGAACATGAGAACATAATCACCCACCCTCATGCAGCTCCCTGCCCCAGCGACCCTTTCCACACTTCTGCACTTTTAACAGATACAGGATATATACAATATGCCATGCTGAAGAGGTTTAGCAACAGGACAACAAAACATCCCATACCACGCACTCCCAGCCTGCTGCCTGACATTCGTATATAAATTTAATCATCGGCCTGTATCTTGTTAATATTTGAGGCTTACTTTTGTCCTCCTGTAAAAGAACCCTTCTGTTAATTTTAGCAATACACAGGGAATAGTGAAAGAAGTAATTGATTCAGATGCAAAATCCTTATGAGGGGGATTTATCAGGGTATCGATCTATTGTCCCCCTTATATTTAGCAGTTAAAAGTTTTTATTTGGAAGGACTAGAAGCTACTTTTTATCTAAGACTCCAGTTCAACTGCTACTTGAACTGGAGACAGCTGCAACCTGTTATGATTGGAGTATCTCTAAATGTATCTAGTATGCAGCTTCTCCTAACTGGACAGGAATCAAAAAAGGCTGGAAAATCTCCACACAATGATATCCAAAACAATGTTCCTCACAGATTCCATACACTGATCAACAGCTTCCTAACTTGCCTCAGACAAAGAGCATCTAATGCTGTGCAGCAGCAGGACTCCCTCACTTCCAAGATGCTGTATTTATCAGTAACTACTGAAACACCAACAACATACTGAAGACCAAGAAAGCAACTGCCACATCACACCTGATTCTGACTTCTGTTTTTGCAATGCTTCTGCATTTCAGAAGCACCCTCACTTGCCCAGCTAACATCTCCTAAGTTTCATGAAGCTGAATATTAGCACTTCACATACACATGTCTTATTGGGGCTCAAATCACTAAAGACTCTCAGAAAGCTGATTAAGAGGAGGGGTGAGTAGAATAATAAATAAACCTCTGTTGTTCACCAAGCAGTTTTACACACTCTTGTATGCGATATGTTCACTGTATGTTCCTGGAGGCTGCACTAAATAAAACATCCTCACACTCTCACAGACAAACCTGGAAAGAAATCACCAGCAATAAAACTAGCAAATGCAAGGAGACATTCATTTACTACAAAACTGAGCATTAATTCCAATATTCCATAGTGTGGTAAATAATCTGGATTTCAATGTATTTCCTCCCAATGGGTTTCAACCTAGGAACTTCAGTTGTTATCACCATATAAACCACAGAATCTGGATGTCTCAGCATTGAAGACCCAAGATCCTCAGTTCTCAAACACTGCAGAAGCCAGTGAGCACAAAAGAATAATGAGTCCATAAAACTCAAAAAATAAAGTTCTATTTCCAGTTTCCAAAGACTTAGTATGAACAGCTGCAGCCAACATATTTAAACTCCTGGATCACTAAAGTTAGACAGTGAGAACTAAACAGTGCCACATTCTGCAGTTACTGTGAAGGAATGTGCAGAAGGTCCAAGCCCGAAATTGAGGTGTTTGGAGCACATGCAGGAGAGAGGTCAGGGAATCAATGCTCATGTACAGAGCAGCTCCTCAGAAAATGTGCACTGAGTGAGGGAAGTGCTGGGGACAATCAGGAACATCTAGTCTTTTGTGTTCAGCAGCTTCAGATGTAAAATGAACTATTTTCTTATGATGCAAAAGAACTTCAAGCACAAAGACAAGCTGTCCCAAAACTGGATCCTTCTTGGCTTTTACTAGAACCAAAAAAGCAGAGCAGACACAATGGACAGTACAAGAGATGCAAAGACCATCAGCAGAGATATGCTCATGGAAGGCTGAAGACCTACTTGAGCCTAAACCAGAGAAAAAACCACCTACATCAAAGTTCTGGGATATCAGATATGCTTTACTTCCCAGGAAAAAAAGAAAGTCCTCTGGTTTAACATGACCTCTGCTACCTAATAGTACTAACATCTGCTCTCCAGAGGAAACAATTCTTGCCAGAAAGCCATCCTGCCACAACCCACCTTCCCCCAAAGCACAAACCAGACATTTATGAGCAATTTTTCTCAGTCGTGTGACATTCTGAGCATGAACAGCTGCTATATGCCCACTTGTCCCACTGCCCTCCAAGTTCATGTTGGAGAAGGTGAGTTAGATCTAGCTGAGACTAACTGCACCTCTGGTATTAAGCCCACCACACCTGAGGAAGCACAGCCCTCCTGGTAGCTCACCTCTGGAGCCACCTAACAGGTTAGCTCTGCCTAAGGCATACACTGTGTGTAAAGGACAACAGCCAGAGCACAGAGCAGGCAAAAAACAAAAATGAGAGAAGACTATCTGCAAGAAGGACCAGCAGAAAGTTGGCATTTTAAGTATTTTGTTACAGAATTAAAAATATATGCATGTCAGGGTTACTATTAATTTTTTTAAGTCTATATTCAAGGCAAGAAGAGAAGAGGCAAACAAAAAAAACAAACTCCTGTCATCCTTTCCCAAGCCATTCAGCCACAGCACTACCAAGGGTCAGAGAAGAGAATCACAGCTACCCTTGCCCTGAGAAGACAAATTTGTCAGATTTTATTGCATTGCTGCAGCAGAACTTAATACATGAATGCGCCACAGGGAAGGCTGGGTCTCAAACATGAAGTGCCATTTAAGCCACAGGATTCTGGTCTCACTATCTCCAGCACTTCCAGTTCATGGACCCCATCGCTTCCAGTTCCTGGGAACACTGCTGGACACAGCCTGGCCAAAGAAGGAGGCAGGGCACTTGCTCTAGAGAAGGTCACTGCCTGCAAGTTGCATACTGTTACATGTGAAGATGAGCAGAGCCATAGGAAAGCAAAAACAGTTTTGTATGTTTTGGTTATTATTCTGCTTTCAAGCATTATTACTCAGATATCAGTACTACTCTGCTTCTCACTGTCACTCTCATTTTTAACAGCAGGTTTAAGAAAATTAACTTCCAGGCAAGTCACCTGAGAATTTAGTAAATTTTCAAACCCCTCATTTGTGCAAAAAACAATTTAATGAACTTGACCACAAAACAGTGAACTCGACTGAGAAAAATTTTTACACAACAGTTTCTTTTACATCGGTACTCATTCATCGGTCCAGTTTCTCCTGAAGTCCCCAACTGCTCAAGCAGGAAGGACTCTCTGCAGGCACAGCCCCCTTAGTCCGGGGACAAGCCTTGCTACTGAGCGTGCCTGTCAAACAAAAAGGAGCTACTATCCACTGGGCCGGAGACCAAAGGAGACAGGGAAAGCAGAATCCCTACAGACCCCGGGAGGCCTGAGCCAGGCACGCTCGGCACCAGCGGGCTGTTGGTCGGACTCTGCGGGGAAACAGCGACACAAACTTTTTCCTCCCTCCGGTCCAGCTCCCGCTCGCAGGTTCCACACGGGAGGAAGGGCGCGGGTGCCACCTCACGCTCCTCCCGAAGCGCGGTTCGACCCCCGGGCCGGAGCAGGGGCCGAGAGGGGCCCTGGGCCGAGGGGGGTCATCGAGAGTCGCTCCCGCCAGCCCTGCGGTGGCTCCGCGACACCAACCAGGCGCGAGGCGCTGGGGGAGCCCCTGGGACAGGCTCGCCCATCGCCCGCCCCGCTCGGGGCCCGCCGCGGCAGCGCAGAGGTCAGCGCGGTGGAGGCTCCGGGCGGCGCCCGCGCCATAGGCCCCGCGGGCGGCGAAGCGGGCCGAGCCCCACGGCGCCGTGGCGGGAAGCCTGGCCTCTTACCTGCGCCGAGAGCCCGGCAGACATGTCGGGGCGCGCCACTCCCTTAGGCCGCCGGCGCCACAGGGCCGCGGCCACACGGGACGGGGAGCGCTGCTCGCCGCGCTCGGCCCGCACCCGCTTCCGGCAGCGCCACAAAGCGCACGGCGGGGCCCTACCCTGCGCATGCGCAAGCCCGCTACAGCGCGACTCCCCACCCCGGCACGCTACTCGTGTGCCGGCGGCACCGAATAAGTCGCAGGGACAGGCTGTGCGCATGCGTAGAGCGGCCGCCGCGGTGCTCTCACTCTTAAAGGGGCCGCGCACGCCGGCCCCGCCCGTGCCCCGCGGGTCCCGGAGGCTCCGCCATCTCGCCGTTCCCCGGGCGCTGCGCCCGGCCCTGGGAAGGGCCTGCGCGGCGCACCGGGACTGACCGCCCCCGGGCCCTCGAGTGGAAGGAGCTGTTGCCGGGCCGCTCCAGCTCGAGCACCGTGGGCAGCGACCGGGAGCCGCCGGTTCCGTTCCGCTAGCCCGGCTCCGGCTCCGCTGCCCCCGCGGGGTCTGCTGCTGTCCGGCCTGGCCGCGCCCTGCCCTCAGGCCCCGCTGCTGCTGCGCCTCGGCAGCCGCAGCTCAGCCTGGGAAGGGACAGAGACAGCACCAGCTCTGTTCCCACAAGCCGTGTCTCCCTCTTGCCGCGATCTTTATTCGCATCCCGCGTTCATTTGCTGCTCCCCTGGCCCACAGTATTGACCAGTCTGCGGGTGCTGATGGCACTTCACTACAGGTTACCTGGTTTCAAACAGTGTGGGCAGAGGTGAGGGGGGATTCTGCCCCTCTGCCCACTCAGGTGAGACCCCACCTGCAGAGCTGCCTCCAGCCCTGGGGACCCAACATCAGAAGGATTTGGAGCTGCTGGAGGGAGTCCAGAAGTCGCCGTGGAGATGGTCCCAAAGCTGGAGCCCCTCTGCTCTGGAGCCGGGCTGGGAGAACTGGGGGTGTTCACCTGGAGGAGAGGAGGCTCCAGGGAAACCTTGAAGTCCCCTCCAGTGCCTAAAGGGACTGTAGGAAAGCTGAAGTGGGACTTTGGGACAAGGGATGGAATGAGGGATAGGAGGGACAGGACAAGGTGGAATGGCTTCCTGCCAAAGAGCAGGGTTAGAATAGATTTCTTAAGTTTTTCTTTAGTATTTCTTTACTGTGAGGGTAGTAAAACAGCTTTCCCAGAGAAGCTGTGGCAGCCCACCTGTGGAAATGTTCAAGACCAAATGGGACAGGACTTGGAGTAATCTTGTCTAGTGGAAACTGTCCCTGATTATTGCAGGGGGCTTGGAATAAAAGGCCTTTAAAAAGTCCTTTCCAACTACTTTCTTGTTCTGTGACACACAGCCAGTGGAGAAGGCAGCACAGGGCTCTGCAGGGAGCAATGCCTTGCTCCCCAGCCCAGTACTGTTTAGGGATGGTGCGAGGGCCTGGTGCCCCGAGAGCCCCTGGCCATGGGCCCCTTTCCCTCCCTCGCTGCTGCAGCTGCGGAGTGGCACCATCTGCCTGCCTGTGTCACCCTGGGGGCACGCTGTGTTCACCTGTGCAGTGTTCTCTGCTTTCTGCAAACAGTCCAGCAGCTGCACTGCTGGTAAAGTCAGCCAGGACTCACAGATTCCTTATGGGCTGTTCCACAGGGGCCAGGTTTCCAGGTAATTTCTTCAGCATTTGCCTGCACTGTTTCATGTTCAGTGCAGCACTAAGATGTTAACCTAAACAAACAGGAGCCTGCAAAATAATTTTTAACCTCTTATATTGCCATCCATTGAAGGAACACCATATATCACAGTGCAAACTGTACTCCTGTTCCCCTTCCTCGCAGGAAGACTTCTAGTCTGCACATTCTCTGCATGGAGGCTGCTGACAGCAAGTGATACGAGTTTCATAATAAAGATTTGCCCAGTGCTTTTAATGTAAATCTTTTCCTCCTCTTTGTTCTGCCCCCAAAGGGAGAACAAGGCCCTTGCAGGACACATCCCTTCACAATACCATGAATCTTTGGTCCCTAATTTAAAAAAAAAAAAAAAAAAAAAAAAAAAAAAAGAGAGCTCTGAGGTAGTCAGGCTTCTGGGGGTGATAGAATGCAGAACAGATGGAGAAGACTGAGTGGAAAGGGTGTTTGTGTCTTGGTTCAAAAGACAGGTGTCTGCCAAGGAAGGTGGGAACCTCCCTTGGAAAGGAGAATATGACCCCCTTCCCTCCGAATTATTAGCACTTTGAAATTGCAGGGCTTTCAGGCAAAGACATGAGAAAAGGAGCAGCAGTTCCTTACTAGCATGTGTGTGTAAGAAGGCAAACAAGCAGCAGCCCGGCAGCACCGAGGGCAGACGCAGAGCCCAGGGCGGCCTTCTCCCGGCCCAGCCCCTTCCCTGCGCTGCAGTTCCGCGCGCAGCCAGCAGGGGCGCTGCTGGCTCCCGGCCGGGCGGGGCGGGGCCATGATTCCCCCGCGGCTGCAGGGGGCGCTGTGGCGCAGCTCGGCCGCCCCTCTGCGCACGGCAATGGCGGCGCGCTGGGGCAGCGATGGAGAAGGGGCTTCCTCTGGAGCCTCAGGGACAGCCGGTCCCGCTGCACCTCCGGGTGCTGAAACGCACTGCAGCAGGAACCTTGGAAGCAGCTGGAACGGCAGAGGCGGGCACACCCAGGGTGACAAATAAAACATAAGAGAAAATTCTGCAGCCGTGGCAGGGGCTGCAGGGCATCATGGCAGGCAGGGATGTGGGGCTACAGTGCAGTGAAAACTCGGAGCAGTGGCAGAAAGCAGCCTGGTTCCTGAACATGGCTGGGAGACCTTCCCTTGGAGAAGGAAAGCGCTCGGGGTCCCAGGGCTTCCCCTGAGGCACTGGAGCAGACAGTGACGGTTCTTTTTTAGTGAGTGTGAAAAACACCAATTACTTGTTTTTAAAATTTTAAAAGTTTAATCGGAATAAAATGGTTATAAAATAGTAATATAATTAGAGTAATAAAAATTTTAACAATTGAGGTTAGGACAATGTGAGACAGTGACTTACAGACAGTCCAGGTACCTCTTTCTGGGCAAAATAAGCCCAAAAAGGGACACACGTGAACAGAGGATTAACCCTTAAAAACAATAGCCTGTTGCATATTCCTATACCTCATACATGATGCATAAATTCTATTCAAACAAAGGATTTTGTAAGGTCAGTGTAAACTTCTTCTTCTTAATCCTAACAGCATCTTCAGGGCTGAGAGAGGCTGGAAGAAGTTAGTTTCTTCTGATAATGGAGCAATAAACTCTCTTTCTCTGAAAGATTTAGGTGTCCTGTGGCTGCTATCTGGTGCAAGTATCTCATTCCGTTCTTTAAAAAAATATCCCAAATACAAAATTTCTATTTTAACGTTATGTTATAACCCAAAAATTTTTAAAGTAGTGTGTATTTAACACACTACTTTAAAAAATTAATACAGCATAACTTTCTAACATAACACATGTAATATTCATTTTAATATTTGCGAAAAGCCAATCATAAAATACGCATTTTTCACAGTGAGGTAGGGTGTTAACAAAGTCCCAGTGCAACGGCCACTCCCACAAGCAGAGCTTCACTCATGGTAGGAGAAGACAGCAGGAAATGGAGCCTCACAGTGGTGGTGAATTCTCCCCACAGCAACCACAGCCTGTCTCCCCTCTGACGCTGAGACCGAGAGAGAGCCAGGAGCTGTGCCCAGCCCCTTCCCCCTGCCCAAATCTCCTGGTATCTCTGCCCACCCGAAAGAAACCCCTCAGTTAAGAGAGTAGCCAGACCTACCTTTCCCCTGTGTTATGGATATGATGGTAATTCGTGCTGATAGAATATGGATATAAGAATAAAATATAAATCTTTAAAATCACACCAGCGAGGGAAAAGGGGATGGCTTCACAGGGTGGTGAAACTGCAGCTGGCAGCCGAGGAGGAGGTGTGTCATTAACACATGAAGTGAGCCTCGCCTGCACAGCAGATGGGCGATCTCCCTGGTGTGAACAGGAGAACACCCAGCGATGGTGCCCACGAAGATGCACACCTCAGACAGACGGGACCATCAAGGGCACACATCTGAATGTGGGATTCCAGGAACCAAGGAGCAGATACACATCAGTTCCCAGACAAGGTTTTGTCCAGCGCAGGACAGAGAATAGGCACAGCATGAATATGAAGAACTCCAAGGAAAGACAAAGGGACTCTGCCGCAGGCAAGAAAAAGAGTATAAAAACCAGACTCTGCCAAGTGGCATTTATGAATAGAGGGATTCGGTGCGATAGAGGCCAGATCTGAGTTCACCCAGCTCTGATCCCGGGGTCCGTGCTGTCCTTGATTGTTGGCTGTTGGGACTGTATATTGGCCACAAATAAATTTACTTTTTATTTTTATTTAAATTGGCTGGATCAATTTTTACCTATAACACCCTGCATCATGGCAATTTCTTTTTCTCTCCTAAGTACCAGTCAGTTTTGTCTCCTAGCAACATATGGGAAAAAATTCCCTGAGAGAAAGAAAACAAAAGGAGCAATCCTGACCTCCAACAATTTGTTACACAAGAGAGTCAGAGCCAACAGCCACATGGGCAGAAGTGAAGCTGCAAACCTGGCTCATGGACACCCATTCCCCAAATCACAGTCTACATCTTCCTCTCGGCCCCTTACCTGCTAGATGAGACAAGCAAAAACTCCTTCCCACCTCATACATTTTGCTTGACAGCGCCAGAGCAAGGGAAGCTGAAGTTCACCTATAGCAGCCCATGGAGAGCCACCTTTCCCTGTGTGTGACTGTGTGTGACTTCAAAACCACTGAGAGTGGCCTCAGGGCTGCCAGCTGCAGCTGTGCTGCTTCCCAGCTCTCTGCAGTTCACCCTGTGTGGTTCCTCCATGAAAGGAATGAGAAGGAGGTATTTTTACAAACAAACTGTGTGCCTGATAGTAGGTAAGGCTAGATACAGAGAGGTGAAAGAAGCAATGGGGAGAACCATAAATTCCACAGGAATTGCACTAATTGACACAGACTGTTACTCACCCAAGACTGTGCTACATCTCTGGATTTAGAGAGAAAGAACAGAGACACAAGGAAAAAGAGAAAAAAAAAGGGGGGGACATGTCACCATGATATTTTGATGAAAAATCTTTTTGCTAGGATTTTCTCCTGAGAAGCCTCAGAAAAGAAATGTAAACAAT